AGGATTGTTGACCTTTATTTTCCTTGACAAGTCTTTACTTTGCTGTGTTCTTCAAATCCTGACATAATGTGTTTTGGACTTTACTGTGTACAGGAGGAGGATGATGCTGGTCTCTAACTGCTAACTGCCTTGTTGCTAATCAACTGGTTGTACAGTGCTGTAACACCCTGGTAACTCTTAATCAGATTTTTCTTGTATATTCACTAATACAAGGACCAATTCCTGAATGCCTTTTCAGGCCAAGCAATTTATATTAAACATTCTATTCTTAATGCTCTCTCTCTCTCTCTCTCTCTCTCTCTCTCTCTCTCTCATGATGTACGCGGGCTTAGATTTCAATAGCATTCCCAACTTAAAAAGAATGATAAGTGAAAATGGTTCTAAGTTGTAACAATTTGATTCCATTGAGCACTCTCATCTAATTCAGGGAGAATATTTGATTAATCAGTTTTGTCTGGTTTAGGATGCGTGAATGGATTTGATCAATACAATTTATAATTAAATTGAGCTATTAAGATCCATGTTTAGTCAGTCCAAGATCATAATCCCAGTCATATGAATGAAATAAATCTTATAAACCAGCTAGCTTTTCTCGTCTATACGGATTATCACTTGTGAAATAAGGAATTCTCATCTTCAAAAGCAGCCTTATAATGATCTATTAATCATGTAATTATTGAAGATAAATCCTGAAACAGAGGATGATAATTAATGAGATAAAAACAGCAATCCTAGTTGTATATACTATCCATCAACCAGTATTCATGACCAGTTCACTTCAGGCTTTTCTAATAAATTATCGATCAGTCTTCTTGACGGCATCAATGGCAATCACCAAAATTAAGTACATGTAAAAAGGACACAAATTTTTGTTTGCTGAAGGGGGAAAACACTTTCTGTGGATTTGCTTAGTATTGTCTTTTGCCTCAAGGCATTGCCTCTAAACTCGTCTCTAACAAGGATGACATGGGTGGAAGCTTAGTCAAACTTTACAAGAGCGTTGAAAATCTCAGTGACACATACATACAACCTGCTACTAACAAGGACGAGGCCTTGCTGAAACCTACGACACTTTCTGCTGGAGCTAATGTCCTTCGGATTTTGACCGACGATGATCCAAAGGCCTGCCGAACAGTTCTGTTGTGCGACCAGTTGCTGGTATGTCTACTGTATCAAGTATCACATTGCTTATAACGTTGAACTTTAAGACGGTTGATGCTTTTGAAGAGAAGGTGGTTGATCTTGACATTGAAGAGGTTTGATATTTTTTGTAAAATTTGTTTTGTTTACAATACAGAATGTTCTCTATCTGTGTCTATTGATTGACACTACATATTTTGTTTGTGCTTTTGCTTCTTGGGGCTTGAAGCTGGTGAAGGCATCATTGGAGTCAAAAACATCTCTTACAAATGTTTTCCTTGGTAATAAAGTGCATGAAGGTTTCAACTTTGGTCCTCTAAAGAAATTGAGCTTTTGGAGGTTCATTTTAGTTTGTGGATTGGCATTAACTGTATTGGTTTACATTGGATTATTTCAACTTTGGCCCTCTGATCTTATTGGTAACAAATATTATACCGCAAAATATGGTAAAAACGACCCGACGAGTCCAAGGAAACCAATCTGCTATCCCAATGATCCTTTTGCACTGTCGTTGATACAAAAATGAACAAGGAGAACCGATCGTGCGGCTGAAGTAAACTTGCTCATCTACACTGCTCCGCAAGGATAAATGTGGACTTTATGAAGCACTGATTCTCTACGGCATTTGCACTGTTTTGTTTTTGGTTTTTCTGTTGATTTTATGTTTTGGGCCTCCATTTCTTAGTTTCTTTTCGGCACGATCAAATCTCAAACCAGTTGGCAGGAGACCAACTTTTATAACAGTTCTCTGTGTTTTTTCTTTTGTCCATTTGGGCAGTTCTCTGTCCTCTTTGCACAAAGAGTTACAAGCAAGCAAATAAGTCGTTGATTTTCTTTTCACTCTTCGGTCTTTGCATATTGGTGGTTAACATTTGCATGAAACCTATGGTTAACTAACACGGACACCTTGCAACTCAAACCCTTGTCATGTCACACAAATTCTTACTTCAATTTCTAAACACATCAAATGTAGTTTTGTTTCTAAAGTGGCAGTTTGCAAGCTTATAAAAGCTTCTTGATGCCTTGCATTACAGCTCCTCCTAATTTTCACACCAGATTAATCCATACTCACGCTAGCGTGAGTTTGAAGCTTCTGATTGACGCAAAAAAAAAAAAGGCCCATTTTAATACAATGTTTAAGGCCATTTTACAAAACCCAACCCATTAGTTATCTTAAAAATTAGGTCAGATATTCCCAGCGTCGCCCTCTCCTTCCTCTCTGTCTCGATCTCTCTCTCTCTCTCCGTCTTTCCTAACAAGCAGCGGATCCTGCGCGCTTCAGCCGCCCGTCGTCCACGCCTCAACGGCAAAATGCCGGCCCAGACCCGTCTAGAGCCGCCTAGGGCCGCCTAGAGTCCAAGGTGACCCTCCACCTTTTAGATCCGTTCACCATTGCCATTTTTGAATAATTTTGAATTTAGGATACATTTTTTGTGAAGGTCTGTCCTTAATATCCCCTCAATGGCTACCACCAGCAGCGCTAGCGTGAGTTTGAAGCTTCTGATTGACACAAAAAGCCACAAAGTTCTGTTTGCTGAAGCAAGCAAGGAAGTTGTTGATTTCCTTTTTAAGTTTTCTGTCTTTGCATGTTGCAACTGTTACTAGGCTCCTCTCAACGGATGGTATGGCGGGTTACTTAGGCAACGTTTACCAGAGTGCCGAAAGCCTTAGTGTCAACTCATACTTGCCACTCAATCTTAAGGACACCCTGCTCAAACCCAACCCAACAATTTCTGCGGCCAATATCCTTCAATTGCCATTGCCGACCAATAGACTAGAATCTTTCTAAATTGTTCTACATTTGTGTGATGTGCAGTAACCGTATTTCTGAGAGCTATGGAATCCCTTGTCCACAGTCAAGCCCAAAATTAAGGTCCAGAAAAGGACGCAAGGGCAGTTAATAAAAACAGAGCACATATTTCTTCTTATTTTATTTATTTATTTTTGTGTTGAAGGTCCATGCAAAGTATTTAGAAGAATGTATTTTGAGTTAAATTTTCCAGTTTCTAAATAGAAAAAGGGGGAATATGTATTTATGATTATTAGTTTTTGATACTTTTTTCTTTAGTTTTATTATATATAAATATAATATAATTGTTGTTTTTCCTGCTAAAGCCTAAAGGTGCCTCCTTTAACCTACTTGTTTAGGCGTGTGCGTTCTGGGTTGGGTTGTAGCAATGGCTATGCTTATTTACTCACTTATTTTATTACAGTTCCCTAATTTCTTTATAAGGCCTGTTGGTCCCAATTCCCCTTGTAACTGCATCAATGGCAACCAACACTGTAAGCTTGAAGCTCTTGATTGACACAAAGGGCCACAAGGTTCTGTTTGCTGAAGCAGGCAAGGACTTTGTGGATTTCGTTTTCACGCTGCTGGCTTTACCTGTTGGAACTGTGATTAGGCTCCTCTCTAAGGATAACATGGTGAGCAGCTTAGGCAAGCTTTATGATAGTCTTGAACTTCTTAATGACACGTATATGTTACCTAATCTCAACAGGGACACATTGCTGAAACCCAAGGCACCAATTGGTGGTGCTAATGTTCCTCATCTGTTGACCAATGATGAATCATTGGCTAAAAAGGTGTACATGTGTGGGAGCTACCACCGCTTTATAGCTGACGATCCTAGAGCCATTTGCCCACAGTGCAAATATACTCTCTCTACCGAGGTGCCTTATGTTGCAGCACAGGCTATCACGGAAGGATCGTCTGGTGGTGGAGGAGGGTATGTGAAAGATGTTGTTACATACATGATAATGGATAATTTGGAAGTGAAGCCTATGTCTACCATATCGTGTATAGCTATGTTGAACAGGTTCAATGTTAAGGAGGTTGGTACCCTTGAAGAGAGGATGGTTCTTCTAGGCATGGATGATGTGTGCATTCCTAAACTTCTCTCAACCTTTTGAACTGTGAATATATGTGCATCTTGAATGTGCATCTTGATTTCTACTCTACGCACTCGATCAATAGACGATACAACCATCATACATTATCATGTAGGCTTTTAATCAAAGCTAACTTGATCAATTCTGGAAATGGAATTTTAGAGCTTGTTTGACTGTTGTGCATCTGAAATCGGACTAGGGATTCATAAAGAGTGTCTTACACTGTTATTTTGGAGGTTTTTGTGGTAATCAGTCAGTTGTAAATTGATGAAATCGACTTCACCATGCTCCTTCAGAGGATTGTTTCTTCTGTTAAGGTAGCTGAGCTGACTTTTGCTAGAACTTTGGAGCTTGTGACTCCAAGATGTTTTTGAGACTCATGTATTACTCTTTTGCTGTTGAATGTTTCTTCTTCATGTTTTGCTATACTATTAATTGGACTAAAAATTTGAAAAAAGACACAGCGTATAGCCGGGCGGCTGTACTCTTTAAATAAAATATATAAAAAGAGTATAGCCACACGGCTATACCACCTTTTTAATTTTTTCCCTAAATTAATAGTATAGCCGGACGGCTATACTCCGTTTTTCTTTATTTTTTAAAAATTAGTAGTATCGCCGAGAGGCTGTACTATTTTTCCCTTTTTTTAAATAAATAGTATCACTGAGCGGCTATATGGTTTAAATATAATATATTAAAAGAGTACGGCTAACCGGCTATACGGCTATACACGGTGTTTTTGAAATTAATAGTATAGCCGAATGGCTATACGCTGTTTTTTTTTGAAGTAAATAGTATAGCCGATCGGCTATAGTGTTTAAATATAATATATTAAAAGAGTATCGCTGTACGGCTATACTCCTTTATGTTTTTTTTAAATTTTTTTCCTGAAATTAATATTAGAGCCGCCAAAGCCATCAAACGTCGTTTCCTGAAATTCATTTCTCCTTAATTCAAATGAGTCTTCATATTTATGTTGATATTGCTTTCTGATACATAAATTCACAGCCAAAGCCATCAACGTTGTTCCATGCAGCTGGTTCTTGATCTTTGCCGGGGTTGGGCTTGGTGGAGTGAAGCATGAGGTTGGATGCTGCAACAGCCTCTGCAACTGTGAGATAAATCCATTCTTGACATGTATTCTCAATCAACTCTGACTTGTTCATCTTCTTCATCACCTCGCTTCCCGGGTTCGCCAGTACAAGCTAAACACAGATGGGAACAAAATTACAGAGTTATATAAACAGATGAAATAAAAATTTGGAAGGAAATATTTGATAAATTGAAAGAGACTGTTGCAGATTTTTGAACCTGGAGCCCCCTTCTGTCAACAAGCTTTTTGACCACTTCAAACATGCTTATCCCACTTGTGTCTATGTTACCAACAGCTGCAAATTAAACCAGAAAACAAATTAATTTCAGGGTAAAAAATGTCACAATAATTATATATATATATATGTGCACTATTTGTTTCCCTTAATTACCAGTCATATCCAATATCACATATTGCAAGCTACTTTCCCCTGCAGATTTGGTCCCATCTTCCTCATCATTTATCCACCTTGTAATCCTGAAAACAGGTAGGACTTTGGATCAACTTTCAAATTATTATTTTTAAATTTGATTATAACATGCAAGAGTGTGTTCAGGTTTAATTAATTAGTACCTTTCTCTTAAGTAGTTGGTATTTGCAAAGTAAATGGGAGCATCAATCTCAAGTATGAGAATTCCAGGAACATTGCTTGCATTGGGATACTGCTCAACATTTCTGTAAACCATATAAAGGTTTCCTTGAACAAAACTGCCACAAACGAAAGTAGATATTGCAACCTACACACAAGAAAAAGAAATATTAGTTCTAATAAGTAATGTTAAGTTGTTGATATGGTGTTATTGTCACACACAATAACTTTTTACTGGTGTGACATATAGTGGTACGTACCACTAAGACTAGGCCGATTTCAACGCTGCCAAAAACGACACCGATACAGGCACTCATGCAGAACAAAGTCAAACGTGTCAACCTTCGAGAGGAGAATTGCGGCTTCATAGTCTATGAGGCCAAGCATGGCAGCTATTATAATAGCAGACAGAACAACCAGGGGAGTGTAATGGAACAGAGGAGTGAGCAGTGGCGGATCCAGGATGGGAAAGTCAATTGGGCGGAACTTACATACTAAATTTGACAGTACGAGTAAATTTCATTAATAAGCAAAAAAAGATACATCTAGTCATGGGGGACATAATGAGTTTTACCCTTAAATACATCTATACATAAATAAAAACTTAACAACAAAAACAAAAACCACAAGTAATTTCAACAAAATCACACAATTTTAAATCAATCCCCACATAAATCCTAGAATACTCAATTTTAAATTAAAACTATAATTAAAGATATAGAAAAATTAGAGAATTAGAAAATACTTTTTGTTGTAGAAAGTAGAGGAAAATATACTACCAAGTTGTCCACTGCCCAGCCAAGATAACAGGAAGATGCAACAAATAAAAGGGGAAAGAAGATGTTGTTGCCGTCAGATTGCCATAGAATAGATGAGATAAACAAGCTGATGTGATGTAGCCAAAGAGAGAAGAGAGAGAATATATGGAACCACTTCCTCTTGGATGGGCAACATGTGCATTGGGTTAGCTTTTATTTTTTAAATTTTGGGCTGCCCTTATAACATATGTAGGTTTTAAAAATTAAAAAAAACTTTGGGATGGGCAGGCACCCATCCTGCCCTGTGCATGGATCCGCCACTGGGAGTGAGGAACAACAATGTGAACATAACCGCAATTGCCATGACAACGTTTGACATTGCCATCTTGCATCCTGCATTGTAGTTAACTGCTGATCTGGAAAATGGCCTTGAATATTGATGAAAAAATTTCGCTTAATTAGCAACATGAAATGAATCTAATTGAGAATAAACCCTAAATGTGTACGATTAGTGATTAACCTGTGGTGAGGTAGCAAGAAGTGCAAGAACCAGCAATGTTCATCATCCCAATGGCAATCATTTCTTTGTTCCCATCAATGTGGTAATTCTTGAACATGGAAAAGCTTCTCCCTGTCCCTACTGCTATTCCTTCCTGCACATAGCAATTAGGAAAACCCACAATCCATTAATTGTTATAATTAAGAATGGTTTGCAATACAACATGTTCTTTCTCGTGATCAACTGGCCTAACCAACATCAGTAATTAAAGAATTATGTTAATTACTTACAGCGAGAGCTATGACTCCAGTTTTGAAAGCTGTTGTCACAGATAAGGAGACACAAACACAAGGACTCCAAAGGACATTGGATTAAGCCCCTTCATCAGCTTTCCTATCTGACAATATATATCCACCAGAAAATTCAGGCATTAATTAAAAAAAATTGTCATTATAGGTAAAAACCAAAATACAAAATACAAAAAGCTTTTATAAATTACATACTACTTTTACAGGCTAAAATCTCTATTGCTCTCTCTAGCAATAACTTTTCGGTCACATCTTTGTGTTTTCAGGATGCAAAACACATAATCAAACACCAGTTTTCTTATAGCGGCCATCAGAAATTGAAGTGAGTTCTTATAGCCTATGTCTACCATATCGTGATGCTGAGCAAGTTCAATGTTAAGGAAGTTGGTACCCTTGAAGAGAGGATCGTTCATCTAGGCATGGATGAGGTTTGCGTTCTTTTTGTTTTTGTTTTGTTTGGAGGTATTTTTATCTTATTCAAAATGATGATTTTCTTTTCATGAATTCTTAGGGTCTGAAATTGCTGAAGGCATCATTGGAATCCAATGCAGTTCTCACCAATGTGTTCCTTTGTGGGCAGTTAACACCATATCCTTTTCAGCCCATTGAAGTTCCTTTGTGGATGATTTCAAGGCTTACACTGAAATCTGTTTTAGAACATTTGGAGACAGGGTAAAAAATTGGATCGCAAACAACAAGCCGTTGATCATTGTCAAATTGGGATATGACCTTGGAATTTATGCGCTGGGAAGGCTTTCTGTTCCAGCAGGGTTTCCATGCAGGGAAGGCAATTCAGTCACTGAACCTTACATTGTGAGCCATAGCTCTCTCCTAGGAGTCCTAGCCCATGCCACTGTTGTTGAGCTTTACAGAGAAACAAGGTGGACAAATTGGAATTAGTCTTATAGGAGAATATGTGGAGCCTTACTCAGAATCAACAGAAGACAGAGCTGCAGTAAAGAGAAATTTGGACTTTGAACTTGGATGGTACACAGAGCCATTGGTATATGGAGATTATCCAAAGAGCATGAGTACATTTGGTCAAGGAAAGGCTGCCCATTTTCACCAAGGAAGAGAGGAGATTGTTGAAGGATTCCTTTGATTTTGTTGGCATCAACTATTACACCTCAAGATATGGTAAAAACAACCCTGCAAGTCTAATGAAGCCAATCTGCTACCGCAATGATCCTTTAGCTCCAAAGAAGCCTCAAGATATGTCTATACCTTACGATTCGGACTTTACTACATCGATTACAGAAACAATCTCAAGCGCATTCCCAAAGAGTCTGCTAAGTGGCTCCCTAAAGTCCTAAAAGGGTGAGAGAAATAGAGATCAAGCTCTAGATGCATGTTGATGAAGACCAAGTTCCAATGTTGAGTTTCATTGGCACAATGCCCTGTACCATGATACAAATGTTGAGGTTCACTGCAATAAAGGCAATGTCTGAGTGCTTCAATTATGAATCTATGCAATACGAAACAAATATTGGCATATGCTGTAGACAATAAGCTATGTCTTCTTCATCACTAGTTCTTTTTTTTTTTTTTTTTTTTTTTTTTTTTTTTTTTTTTTTTTTTTTTTTTTTTTTTTTTTTTTTTTTTTTTTTTTTTTTTTTTTTTTTTTTTTTTTTTTTTTTTTTTTTTTTTTTTTTTTTTTTTTTTTTTTTTTTTTTTTTTTTTTTTTTTTTTTTTTTTTTTTTTTTTTTTTTTTTTTTTTTTTTTTTTTTTTTTTTTTTTTTTTTTTTTTTTTTTTTTTTTTTTTTTTTTTTTTTTTTTTTTTTTTTTTTTTTTTTTTTTTTTTTTTTTTTTTTTTTTTTTTTTTTTTTTTTTTTTTTTTTTTTTTTTTTTTTTTTTTTTTTTTTTTTTTTTTTTTTTTTTTTTTTTTTTTTTTTTTTTTTTTTTTTTTTTTTTTTTTTTTTTTTAAGAGAGAGAGAGAGAGAGAAAGAGAGAGCACTAAGAATGGAACGTTTATTTAAATTGCTTGGCCTGAATTTGGTCCTTGTTTAGTGCCATATACCCGAAAAACTCCTGATTATGATTACCAGGCTTACAGCACTGTCAACCATTTATTAGCGAACAATCAGTTAGAGACCAAGCATCATCCTCTCCGCCTGTACACATCAAAGTTCCAAACTCATTATTTCATGATTTTGAAGAACACAGCAAAGTAAAGACTCGTCGTGGAAAAATAAAGGTCCAACAGGCTTATTGGATTATGTGGGACCCACGATTCAATCGTTAGGAAACTACTCTTTATCTTTCTAGTTATATCTTTTAGGAAAGGAGACATCACGGAAATATAGGAGCATTTTTCAAATGTAACTTTTTCCACCAGACAACGCTAGCATTTCTCAATTCCTTTACCTCCACTCTTTTATTACTTGGTTTCGGTTTTGATGATTTGCTAGCAGTATCAGACACAAACATCCAATCAAAATTCCTTTTATAATTGGGGGATTTTTAATATAAATGGAGACATTAATAGACTTTTCAAGGGGCCTCCACAGCTGGCCCCAAATAATAGCAAATAATGTCTGGTTCCATATAGGAAGTGACTCAGCAACTTCAAAGATCAAAAATGCATAAGCAAAAACATGTGTTAAATGCAGGAGATGGAACAAAATCAAGTGAAATAAGCTAAGGTTGCATGCACCCCATTAGTAGTATTTCAGTACAAGATCATCAAGCTAGGAAGGTTGATTCACTAGTGACCTGCCACATGACTGCGAAAACAGTGTATTCTTAATTCCACGCCAACCAAAAGCTCATTACTTTCAATTTCGAACCAACTTCAGTCAGTTCCGATACACCAAGAGGTACCCTTCCAGGATGTGGCATCCAGGGGTAGGCGCCAGGGAGCTAGGCGGCGTCTGGGCGCCAGCCTAGGCGGCTCTAGGCGGCCTAGGAGGGTCTAGGCTGCTCTAGGCCTCTTGGAGGCTCTAGGCCTCAAAGAAGGTCTAGGCGGCTCTAGGCGGACCTAGGAGGTCTAGGAGTCTGGTGGCGTTTTGGCGTTGAGGCGTGGACGAAGGGCGGTTGAATTGCGCAGGATCCGCTGCTTGTTAGGAAGAAAGACGGAGAGAGAGAGAGAGAGAGAGAGAGGCAGACAGACAGAGAGAGGAAGGAGAAGGCGACGCTGGGAAGAAGAAGATATCTGGCCTAATTTTTTATATTTGATATGTATAGCCGCGCGGCTATACTATTAATTTGAAGAAAAAAAAAAAACAAGAGTATAAAGCGTGGTCATACTATTTTTTATATATTATATTTAACCAATTCAGCCAATTAATTTTGTAAAACAAGGATACATCATCCATATTCAAAAACAAACATTCCAAAAGAAGCTTCAAAATGTCAACTTGAAATGTTGCTTAAAGGAACACATTTGTCATAACTTCATTTGAGTGCACCAATGCCTTTCAACAATTTCAAACCCTAACAAGGAAATTATGACAGGACCCGTCCCGAATTTCCCCGGAACCCGAGACGAACCCTGCGGAGACCCCGGCATCACACCCACGCCGGGTTTACTCCTTAAATCTACGTCCTCGTTCACCATAGAGGATTAAGGGCACGAGACTTTCTGCCGAAAATTTCGGCAGAGTCTCCCCTGTAAATTGAATATTCCCCAAAAGTTCCACCTGCATAAAACTCAATTCAACCAAGTTTCGGGACCAACCGCGGGGTCCGCATCATACTCAATAAAACCACCTAAGTGGTGTCTAAGTCGTGGCTGCACCTAGGCGCTATCCCAGGCTGCCTACGTACCCTACTAAGGGATCAAGCCACACGTAGCTCTTTCCTATCAATCCTGGCTCCTGATATCAAATAAACCATCACATCCACATAAATTCATACATTCTCGGGTTTATCCATCACAACACACCCAACATAATCACATAGCTCCCACTCATACGTCGGGACGCACCCGGCCACGTACGGGGTCTGTCAACACGCCGGCTAATCCAAAGACGCGTGCGACCTCACACTCACTGGGCCTGGCTACATTCTCACCAGCCATCATACCATCATATCTCCCACTCATACGTCGGGACGCACCCGGCCACGTACGGGGTCTGTCAACACGCCGGCTAACCCAAAGACGCGTGCGACCTCACACTGGGCCTGGCTACATTCTCACCAGCCCTCACACCATCATATCTCCCACTCATACGTCGGGACGCACCCGGCCACGTACGGGGTCTGTCAACACGCCGGCTAACCCAAAGACGCGTGCGACCTCACACTGGGCCTGGCTACATTCTCACCAGCCCTCATACCATCATAACTCCCACTCATACGTCGGGACGCACCCGGCCACGTACGGGGTCTGTCAACACGCCGGCTAACCCAAAGACGCGTGCGACCTCACACTGGGCCTGGCTACATTCTCACCAGCCCTCATACCATCATATCTCCCACTCATACGTCGGGACGCACCCGGCCACGTACGGGGTCTGTCAACACGCCGGCTAACCCAAAGACGCGTGCGACCTCACACTATCACTTGGGCCTGAGCATAATCACAATATGAGGGGTACGTGGGGTAGTGCGTATAGCACTGTAAACTAATATTCAATCTCCTTATATATCATTATACCTCCATACAATCAATTAAATATAACATATAATTTCTAATCATACAAACACCTTAACAAACAACTAGCATCCGATAATCCCCCATAATCCCCATGACATCAGGACCTGTCACCACGGTCATTTTAATCTTCCTAGGAATGTAATACTACCTAGGAAGTCCCACAGACAAACCAGGGTCAAACTACCCAACCTTGGTCAAACGGGCCCGCGGGGCCCACGACCTCCAATTTCCGATCCGAAAGTTCCTATAGGTTCTACAAGCTCTAGGATGCACGTCCTGCAAGTTTGGTCCAGATCGGACGGTCGGATCGCTCACGATCGCACGATCGGACGGTTACTAAAACCCTAACCCCAGGGTTGGCATTTCTGGAGTATCCGGGACTCCGTTTTACGATCCGTCGAATCCTACACGATCCTGGTAATACCTAGATCAACATATTACAATCTCAGGACCATCCAACGGTCCAAACCCAGCGAACCCGGAAAATACGCGATATGCGATATCCGTTCGGGACTCTAACGGTACCCAAATAAGATCCGAGCACACCTACGCGCTCATGACAACCTGAGGATCATTTTAGAACCTCGAGCCGGTCCATTTTCCTAGCCCACGCGCCGCCACACGCGCCGGCAGCGCGTGGGTGCCTTGAGTAATTTCCGGCGGCCGGGAAAACTCCAAACCGCCGGCCAAGCTTCCTATCCTAGATGTAAAACCCTATTCTGAGCCACTTTTGTTCTTGGGCATACCCCAAAATCTGACCGGAAGTGGCCGGAATCTCATCCCGAAATCCGGCCGAAACCCAATTCGTAAATCGAGATTGCCTACGCTACAAATCGATCAATTCCTACCCAACCAGCAGCTAGAGCTCGGAAAATAGGTGAGAAACCATACCTTGATCGCAAGATTTGGTGGCCGGAATCGCCGGAACGAGCTCCGGAAAATCTGGGTAAAAACCGGCCGTTTTTCTGCACTTTTCCGGCGGTATCGCTGCCGGCTGACGTCGGAGAACAGGTGGGGTAGGACGGCGGAGTCAGGCCGGTCATTTTGGGACCGGTCCCGACCCGAGTGGTGGCCGGATGACTGAACGGCCGGCCAAAACGTGGCCGGCTGCGGTGGCGTCGCGAACCAGAGGAGAGAGAGAGGGACGCGCGGGAGAGAGAGAGTGTGTGTGAGAGACGGGGGCAATTCCGTCTTTTAACCAAAAATCCATTTTCCAAATATTTACGATTATGCCACTGAGCTTCTTTTGATCATATCTCTCTCGTTACAACTCCGATTCGAGCCCACTACGTGTCTACGGACTCATCTCACCGTGCTCTACGCAACGGTACACCGGAATTCTCAAATTCCTTCCGGGTAAGAAAATGACTAAAATACCCCTATCCCACTGGTAAATTCTTAATTTCGCTCAAATTAATTAAAATAGGGGATAAATTTGGAGTCGGGGTGTTACAAATTAAACAAAAATGCTCTTCATCATAAATTCTTATAGAATATCAAGTCCAATATTTGAATATATAGAATGGTAATTCATCACGTTGGAAAAAATTAATAAACACAAACCTTATCCTTATCGAGAGGAACCACAATCTCTTCAAGTGAACGAACATCCCTAACATCGAAGTTTTTAAGCAGAGCGATACTTGAAATGGCAGCAGACATAGGCTTCACTTCCATATCATCCGTTATCATGTAATTAAGTCACAGCTTCTATCACAAACCCACATCCCTTGCCGCCGGCTGCAACTGTCAGCCGAGCAACATAAGTCGTGGTTTTGGAATGAAGTTATGGCACTTTGGACAAATGGCCTTAGGGTCGTCAGCCACATAGCATACCTCGCTAGAGTAGGAGTAGCTTGACGGCTGACATGACCGACACGTGTACTGACAGGACCCCGCCCCGAATTTCCCCGAAACCCGAGACGAACCCTGCGGAGACCCCGGCATCACACCCACGCCGGGTTTACTCCTTAAAACTATGTCCTCTTTTACCAGAGAGGATTTAGGGCACGAGACTTTCTGCCAAAATTTCGGCAGAGTCTCCCCTGTAAATTGAACATTCCCCAAAATTTCCACCTGCAAAAACACATTTTATAACCCAACCAGCAGCACGCACAATATAATCTCATGCAATTTACATAAATGGCCTCCGGCCTTCAAATGATTCTAGCAGAACTACTCACACTGCTTTTAAAATAACTCCATGCATCAAACATGCACATAACCAATTCAAAATCTATCTATGCACACCTTCGCTCACTCAGTCCACCGGACAAGCCTCAATTCAACCAAGTTTCGGGACCAACCACGAGGTCCGCACATACTCGATAAAACCACCTAAGTGGTGTCTAGGTCGTGGCTGCACCTAGGCGCTATCCCAGGCTGCCTACGTACCCTACTAAGGGATCAAGCCACACGTAGCTCTTTCCTATCAATCCTGGCTCCTGATATCAATTAAACCATTACATCCATATAAATTCATACATTCTAGGGTTTATCCATCACAACACAACCAACACAATCCATAGTCCCACTCATACGGGGAGCACCCGGCCACGTACGGGGTCTGTCAACACGGCGCTAATCCAAAGACGGCGTGCACCTCAACACTGGGCCTGGCTACTTCTCACCAGCCATCACTCATATCTCCCTCATAGTCGGGCGCACCCGGGCCACGTGGGGTCTGTCACACGCCGCTAACCCAAAGACGCTAGTGCGACCTACACGGGGCCTGGCTACATTCTCACCAGCCCTCATACCATCATATCTCCCACTCATACGTCGGGACGCACCCGGCCACGTACGGGGTCTGTCAACACGCCGGCTAACCCAAAGACGCGTGCGACCTCACACTGGGCCTGGCTACATTCTCACCAGCCCTCATACCATCATATCTCCCACTCATACGTCGGGACGCACCCGGCCACGTACGGGGTCTGTCAACACGCCGGCTAACCCAAAGACGCGTGCGACCTCACACTGGGCCTGGCTACATTCTCACCAGCCCTCATACCATCATATCTCCCACTCATACGTCGGGACGCACCCGGCCACGTACGGGGTCTGTCAACACGCCGGCTAACCCAAAGACGCGTGCGACCTCACACTGGGCCTGGCTACATTCTCACCAGCCCTCACACAATCATACTCTCCCCACTCATACGTCGACGCCCCCTCCACGTACGGGGTCGTCCAACACACGCCGGCTAAACCCAAAGCGCGTGCGACCTCACACTGGGCCTGGCTACATTCTCACCAGCCCCATACCATCATAACTCCCACTCATACGTCGGGACGCACCCGGCCACGTACGGGGTCTGTCAACACGCCGGCTAACCCAAAGACGCGTGCGACCTCACACTGGGCCTGGCTACATTCTCACCAGCCCTCACACAATCATACTCCCACTCATACGTCGGGACGCACCCGGCCACGTACGGGGTCTGTCAACACGCCGGCTAACCCAAAGACGCGTGCGACCTCACACTGGGCCTGGCTACATTCTCACCAGCCCTCATACCATCATATCTCCCACTCATACGTCGGGACGCACCCGGCCACGTACGGGGTCTGTCAACACGCCGGCTAACCCAAAGACGCGTGCGACCTCACACTGGGCCTGGCTACATTCTCACCAGCCCTCACACAATCATATCTCCCACTCATACGTCGGGACGCACCCGGCCACGTACGGGGTCTGTCAACACGCCGGCTAACCCAAAGACGCGTGCGACCTCACACTATCACTTGGGCCTGAGCCTAATCACAATATGAGGGGTACGTGGGGTAGTGCGTATAGCACTGTAAACTAATATTCAATCTCCTTATATATCATTATACCTCCACACAATAAATTAAATATCATACAATAACATCAACCAATAAAAATTCCATAAACTCCCCCCATTTAAATTCACCAATTTATATCCTAAACCCACAATATCCATTTAACTCAACAACGCTCAAGACCTGTCACTAAGGTCATCCTAACCCTCAAGGAAAGGTAAGACTATCTCGGGAGTCTCACGGTCAACCTAGGGTCAAACGGGCCTGCGGGGCCCACAACCTCCAAATTCCGATCCGAAAGTTCCTAGAGGTTCTACAGGCTCTAGGACACATGTCCTGCAAGTTTGGTCCAGATCGGACGGTCGGATTGCTCACGATCGCACAATCGGACGGATACTTAAACCCTAACCCCAGGGTTGGCATTTCCGGAGTATCCGGGACTCCGTTTTACGATCCGTCGAATCCTACACGATCCTGGTAATACCTAGATCAACATATTATAATATCAGGACCATCCAACGGTCCAAACCCAGCGAACCCGGAAAAATACGCGATATGCGATATCCGTTCGGGACTCTAACGATATCCAAATTGAGATCCGAGCACACCTGCGCGCTCGTGACATCGAGAGGATCACAATGGGACAAAAATGCCCCTCAGCTACAGTGCCCACGCGCCGCCACACGCGCCGGCAGCGCGTGGGTGTCCAAAGCGATACCCATCGCCGGAAAACTTCCAAATCGTGAGCCCAGACTCCTACCCTAGGTAATACACCTAATTTGGAGTCACTTTTGTTCTTGGACGTACCCCAAAAACTGACCGGAAGTGGCCGGAATCTCATCCCGAAATCCGGCCGAACCCTAACTCGAAAATCAGATGATCTAGGCTCAAAATCAATACAATCCTACCCAACCATCAGCTAGATCATGCAGAAGGGATGAATTTCCATACCTTGATCGCCAAAAATGGCGGCCGGACGACGGAGAACGAAGCCGGCGAAGTTTCGGGCGAAACCGAGCTTTTCTCTTCGATTTTCCGGCGAAATCTCGACGGCTGACGGCGAGACCTGGCTGGGGTAGGAAGAGGACGGCGGCCCGGTCATTTTGGTACCGGCCCCGTCGACTTTGGTGGCCGGACGAGCGAACGGCCGGCCAAAACGTGGTCGGCCACGGTGGCTGTCGCGAACCAGAGGAGAGAGAGAGCGACGCGCGGGAGAGAGAGAGTGTGTGAGAGACGGGGGCAATTCCGTCTTTTAACCAAAAATCCCACTTCAAAATATTTACGATTATGCCACTGAGCTTCATTTGATCATATCTCTCTCGTTACAACTCCGATTCGAGCCCACTACGTGTCTACGGACTCATCTCACCGTGCTCTACGCAACGGTACAACCGGAATTCCCAAATTCCTTCCGGATAAGAAAATGACTAAAATACCCCTATCCCACGGGTAATTTCTCAATTCCACTTAAATAAATTAAAACATGGGATAAATTTGGGGTCGGGGTGTTACATACTACCCCCCTTATAAAAATTTCGTCCCCGAAATTTCATACCTGCCACTCCAAAGGGTGTGGGTATTGGGCCCGCATCTAATGCTATCTCGGTTGCCCATCGTGCTCCATTTGTGATTTGATTCTCTTCTAGCTCTCCACGAAGAGAAGTCCAAACTCCTTGACTTGTTGATATCTTCCTTCTTTCTTTAGAATCGATAAGCAACATTGCCAACACGATTCTTTGAGAGGAATGTCAGAAAGGATCATTTTTACCGAATTGTAATCATCATCTTCCTCTCTCTACCATGACCCATTTCTGATTCCGATGAAAGATTTCTGCTCAAACGTGCTCACTGCACACAATCGAGAATTAGCAACATGAGGTTCCACTCCTGTCAATCGCGGCATTCAAGCCCACGCGAGTGAAGTGATACTTCATCCAACACTATTACTTCTCAACTTAATTTGTCACGACCCTCCTTGGTCGGACTCACAACTCTTCCATTCCCTTGTAACTTGTCCATCAACTTCCTCTGACAATTTCATCTCATCGGATTCAATATTTTCAGCTCCTCCATTTCCTTCCATAGGATATTGAGATGCGACAATTTGGATAGACACGTTTCTAGGAACGTGACACCCTTAAGTGTAATCCTCAACATCCTAAATCCACCCATGTCAAAGAGTCCTCTGCGTCAAAATGATGACGTCCCGTGACGGAACCCATCATGATCCCACAACTTAAGGATGCACACAAGGTGCGGGGTCCACAAGAAATTGAACCTAAGCTCTGATACCAAGCTGACAGGACCCGTCCCGAATTTCCCGGAACCCGAGACGAACCCTGCGGAGACCCCGGCATCACACCCACGCCGGGTTCACTCCTTAAACTACGTCCTCTTTTACCAGAGAGGATTAAGGGCACGAGACTTTCTGCCGAAAATTTCGGCAGAGTCTCCCCTGTAAATTGAACATTCCCCAAAATTTCCACCTGCATAAAACACATTTTATAACCCAACCAGCAGCACGCACAATATAATCTCATGCAATTTACATAAATGGCCTCCGGCCTTCAAATGATTCTAGCAGAACTACCCACACTGTTTTCAAAATAACTTAATGCATCAAACATGCATATAACCAATTCAAAATCCATCCATACACACCTTCACTCACTCAGTCCACCGGACAAGCCTCAATTCAACCAAGTTTCGGGACCAACCACGAGGTCCGCATCATACTCGATAAAACCACCTAAGTGGTGTCTAGGTCGTGGCTGCACCTAGGCGCTATCCCAGGCTGCCTACGTACCCTACTAAGGGATCAAGCCACACGTAGCTCTTTCCTATCAATCCTGGCTCCTGATATCAATTAAACCATTACATCCATATAAATTCATACATTCTCGGGTTTATCCATCACAACACACCAAACATAATCACATAGCTCCCACTCATACGTCGGGACGCACCCGGCCACGTACGGGGTCTGTCAACACGCCGGCTAATCCAAAGACGCGTGCGACCTCACACTGGGCCTGGCTACATTCTCACCAGCCATCATACCATCATATCTCCCACTCATACGTCGGGACGCACCCGGCCACGTACGGGGTCTGTCAACACGCCGGCTAACCCAAAGACGCGTGCGACCTCACACTGGGCCTGGCTACATTCTCACCGCCCTCATTACCATCATATCTCCCACTCATACGTCGGGACGCACCGGCCACGTACGGGGTCTGTCAACACGCCGGCTAACCCAAAGACGCGTGCGACCTCACACTGGGCCTGGCTACATTCTCACCAGCCCAATACCATTCATATCTACAAATCATACGTCGGGAGCACCCGGCCACGTAAGGGCGTCTGTCAACACGCCGGTAACCAAAGACGCGTGCGACCTCAACACTGGGCCTGGCTACATTCTCACCAGCCACATACACATCATAACTCCCACCATACTCGGGACGCACCCGGCCACGTACGGGGTCTGTCAACACGCCGGCTAACCCAAAGACGCGTGCGACCTCACACTGGGCCTGGCTACATTCTCACCAGCCCTCATACCATCATAACTCCCACTCATACGTCGGGACGCACCCGGCCACGTACGGGGTCTGTCAACACGCCGGCTAACCCAAAGACGCGTGCGACCTCACACTGGGCCTGGCTACATTCTCACCAGCCATCATACCATCATAACTCCCACTCATACGTCGGGACGCACCCGGCCACGTACGGGGTCTGTCAACACGCCGGCTAACCCAAAGACGCGTGCGACCTCACACTGGGCCTGGCTACATTCTCACCAGCCCTCACACAATCATAACTCCCACTCATACGTCGGGACGCACCCGGCCACGTACGGGGTCTGTCAACACGCCGGCTAACCCAAAGACGCGTGCGACCTCACACTGGGCCTGGCTACATTCTCACCAGCCCTCATACCATCATATCTCCCACTCATACGTCGGGACGCACCCGGCCACGTACGGGGTCTGTCAACACGCCGGCTAACCCAAAGACGCGTGCGACCTCACACTGGGCCTGGCTACATTCTCACCAGCCCTCACACAATCATATCTCCCACTCATACGTCGGGACGCACCCGGCCACGTACGGGGTCTGTCAACACGCCGGCTAACCCAAAGACGCGTGCGACCTCACACTATCACTTGGGCCTGAGCCTAATCACAATATGAGGGGTACGTGGGGTAGTGCGTATAGCACTGTAAACTAATAATCAATCTCCTTATATATCATTATACCTCCACCCAATAAATTAAATATCATACAATAACATCAACCAATAAAATATTCCATAAACTCCCCCCATTTAAATTCACCAATTTATATCCTAAACCCACAATATCCATTTAACTCAACAACGCTCAAGACCTGTCACTAAGGTCATCCTAACCCTCAAGGAAAGGCAAGACTATCTCGGGAGTCTCACGGTCAACCTAGGGTCAAACGGGCCTGCGGGGCCCACAACCTCCAAATTCCGATCCGAAAGTTCCTAGAGGTTCTACAGGCTCTAGGACACATGTCCTGCAAGTTTGGTCCAGATCGGACGGTCGGATTGCTCACGATCGCACAATCGGACGGATACTTAAACCCTAACCCCAGGGTTGGCATTTCCGGAGTATCCGGGACTCCGTTTTACGATCCGTCGAATCCTACACGATCCTGGTAATACCTAGATCAACATATTATAATATCAGGACCATCCAACGGTCCAAACCCAGCGAACCCGGAAAAATACGCGATATGCGATATCCGTTCGGGACTCTAACGATATCCCAAATGAGATCCGAGCACACCTACGCGCTCGTGACATCGAGAGGATCACAATGGGACAAAAATGCCCCTCAGCTACAGTGCCCACGCGCCGCCACACGCGCCGGCAGCGCGTGGGTGTCCAAAGCGATACCCATCGCCGGAAAAACCACAAATCACGGCTCAAGACTCCTACCCTAGGTAAAACACCTAATTTGGAGTCACTTTTGTTCTTGGACGTACCCCAAAAACTGACCGGAAGTGGCCGGAATCTCATCCCGAAATCCGGCCGAACCCTAACTCGAAAATCAGATAATCTAGGCTCAAAATCAATACAATCCTACCCAACCATCAGCTAGATCATGCAGAAGGGATGAATTTCCATACCTTGATCGCCAAAAATGGCGGCCGGACGACGGAGAACGAAGCCGGCGAAGTTTCGGGTCAAAACCGAGCTTTTCTCTTCGATTTTCCGGCGAAATCCGACGGCTGGCGGCGGAGACCTGGCGGGGTAGGAAGAGGACGGCGGCCCGGTCATTTTGGTACCGGCCCCGTCGACTTTGGTGGCCGGACGAGCGAACGGCCGGCCAAAACGTGGTCGGCCACGGTGGCTGTCGCGAACCAGAGGAGAGAGAGAGCGACGCGCGGGAGAGAGAGAGTGTGAGAGAGACGGGGGCAATTCCGTCTTTTAACCAAAAATCCCACTTCAAAATATTTACGATTATGCCACTGAGCTTCATTTGATCATATCTCTCTCGTTACAACTCCGATTCGAGCCCACTACGTGTCTACGGACTCATCTCACCGTGCTCTACGCAACGGTACAACCGGAATTCCCAAATTCCTTCCGGATAAGAAAATGACTAAAATACCCCTATCCCACGGGTAATTTCTCAATTCCACTTAAATAAATTAAAACATGGGATAATTTGGGGTCGGGGTGTTACATACTACCCCCCTTATAAAAATTTCGTCCCCGAAATTTCATACCTGCCACTCCAAAGGGGTGTGGGTATTGGGCCCGCATCTACTGCTCGGGTTCCCATGCTTCATCCTCCACAACCAAGTTGGCAGCCAAGCCATTAGCTCTATCCAAACAAGCAAAGGAAGAGAAGTCTCTTTCTTCCACTAGGAATATCCTTTAATAGCTGCTGTAATGCTTAATCTTCCTCTGAAAGCTAAATGCTTCCATTTGTGATTTGATTCTCTTCCAGCTCTCCCATGAAGAGAATCCAAACTCTTTGACTTGTTGATATCTTCCTTCTTTCTTTAGAATCGATAAGCAATATTGCCAACACGATTCTTTGAGAGGGATGTCAGAAAGGATCATTTTTACCGAATTGTAATCATCATCTTCCTCTCTCTACCATGACCCATTTCTGATTCCGATGAAAGATTTCTGCTCAAACGTGCTCACTGCACACAATCGAGAATTAGCAACATGAGGTTCCACTCCTGTCAATCGCGGCATTCAAGCCCACGCGAGTGAAGTGATACTTCATCCAACACTATTACTTCTCAACTTAATTTGTCACGACCCTCCTTGGTCGGACTCACAACTCTTCCATTCCCTTGTAACTTGTCCATCAACTTCCTCTGACAATTTCATCTCATCGGATTCAATATTTTCAGCTCCTCCATTTCCTTCCATAGGACATTGAGATACGACAATTTGGATAGACACGTTTCTAGGAACGTGGCACCCTTAAGTGTACTCATCCATACCCTACATCCATCCACGTCAAAGAGTCCTCCGCGTCGAAATGAGGACGTCTTGTGACGGAACCCATCATGCTCCCACAACTTAAGGATGCACACAAGGTGCAGAGTCCACAAGAAATTGAACCTAAGCTCTGATACCAAGCTGACAGGACCCGCCCCGAATTTCCCGAAACCCGAGACGAACCCTGCGGAGACCCCGGCATCACACCCACGCCGGGTTCACTCCTTAAAACTATGTCCTCTTTTACCAGAGAGGATTTAGGGCACGAGACTTTCTGCCAAAATTTCGGCAGAGTCTCCCCTGTAAATTGAACATTCACCAAAATTTCCACCTGCAAAGAACGCATTTTATAACCCAACCAGCAGCACGCACAATATAATCTCATGCAATTTACATAAATGGCCTCCGGCCTTCAAATGATTCTAGCAGAACTACTCACATGCTTTTAAAATAACTCCATGCATCAAACATGCACAGAACCAATTCAAAATCTAACTATGCACACCTTCGCTCACTCAGTCCACCGGACCAGTCTCAATTCAACCAAGTTTCGGGACCAACCACGAGGTCCGCATCATACACAATAAAACCACCTAAGTGGTGTCTAAGTCGTGGCTGCACCTAGGCGCTATCCCAGGCTGCCTACGTACCCTACTAAGGGATCAAGCCACACGTAGCTCTTTCCTATCAATCCTGGCTCCTGATATCAATTAAACCATTACATCCATATAAATACATACATTCTCGGGTTTATCCATCACAACACACCAAACATAATCACATAGCTCCCACTCATACGTCGGGACGCACCCGGCCACGTACGGGGTCTGTCAACACGCCGGCTAACCCAAAGACGCGTGCGACCTCACACTGGGCCTGGCTACATTCTCACCAGCCCTCATACCATCATATCTCCCACTCATACGTCGGGACGCACCCGGCCACGTACGGGGTCTGTCAACACGCCGGCTAACCCAAAGACGCGTGCGACCTCACACTGGGCCTGGCTACATTCTCACCAGCCCTCACACAATCATAACTCCCACTCATACGTCGGGACGCACCCGGCCACGTACGGGGTCTGTCAACACGCCGGCTAACCCAAAGACGCGTGCGACCTCACACTGGGCCTGGCTACATTCTCACCAGCCATCATACTATCACTTGGGCCTGAGCCTAATCACAATATGAGGGGTACGTGGGGTAGTGCGTATAGCACTGTAAACTAATAATCCATCTCCTTATATATCATTATACCTCCACCCAATAAATTAAATATCATACAATAACATCAACCAATAAAACATTCCATAAACTCCCACATTTAAATTCACCAATTTATATCCTAAACCCACAATATCCATTTAACTCAACAACGCTCAAGACCTGTCACTAAGGTCATCCTAACCCTCAAGGAAAGGTAAGACTATCTCGGGAGTCTCACGGTCAACCTAGGGTCAAACGGGCCTGCGGGGCCCACAACCTACAAATTCCGATCCGATAGTTCCTAGAGGTTCTACAAGCTCTAGGACACATGTCCTGCAAGTTTGGTCCAGATCGGACGGTCGGATTGCTCACGATCGCACAATCGGACGGATACTTAAACCCTAACCCCAGGGTTGGCATTTCCGGAGTATCCGGGACTCCGTTTTACGATCCGTCGAATCCTACACGATCCTGGTAATACCTAGATCAACATATTATAATATCAGGACCATCCAACGGTCCAAACCCAGCGAACCCGGAAAATACGCGATATGCGATATCCGTTCGGAACTCTAACGGTATCCAAAATGAGATCCGAGCACACCTACGCGCTCGTGACATCGAGAGGATCACAGTGGGACAAAAATGCCCCTTAGCTACAGTGCCCACGCGCCGCCACGCGCCGGCAGCGCGTGGGTGTCCAAAGCGATAACCCATCGCCGGAAAAACCACAAATCACGGCTCAAGACTCCTACCCTAGGTAAAACACCTAATTTGGAGTCACTTTTGTTCTTGGACGTACCACAAAAACTGACCGGAAGTGGCCGGAATCTCATCCCGAAATCCGGCCGAACCCTAACTCGAAAATCAGATAATCTAGGCTCAAATTAACGAAATCCTACCCATCCATCAGCTAGATCATGAGGAAAGGATGAATTTCCATACCTTGATCGCCAAAAATGGCGGCCGGACGACGGAGAACGAAGCCGGCGAATTTTCTGTCAAAACCGGAGCTTTTCTCCTCGTTTTCCGGCGAAATCACGGCGGCTGGCGGCGGGACCTGGCCGGGATAGGAAGAGGACGGCGGCCCGGTCATTTCGGTACCGGCCCCGTCGACTTTGGTGGCCGGATGAGCGAACGGCCGGCCAAAACGTGGTCGGCCACGGTGGCTGTCGCGAAAACCAGAGGAGAGAGGGAGAGACGCGCGGGAGAGAGAGAGTGTGAGAGAGACAGGGGCAATTCCGTCTTTTAACCAAAAATCCCACTTCAAAATATTTACGATTATGCCACTGAGCTTCATTTGATCATATCTCTCTCGTTACAACTCCGATTCGAGCCCACTACGTGTCTACGGACTCATCTCACCGTGCTCTACGCAACGGTACAACCGGAATTCCCAAATTCCTTCCGGATAAGAAAATGACTAAAATACCCCTATCCCACGGGTAATTTCTCAATTCCACTTAAATAAATTAAAACATGGGATAATTTGGGGTCGGGGTGTTACATGTACAACTTTTTACTGTTTGATTCACTGTCGGTCAAGCAGGAAGAAGTTGATGGGCGCCACCAATTGGCATTGGCAGCTTCTTAGGTTTTAGAAGGACATCCTTGTTGAGGTTGGGTTGCAAGTATGTGTCGTTTAAGTTTTGTAAGCTGCCGTAGAGTTTGCCTAAACAACCGACCTTGCGTTTTCTAGAGAGGAGCCCGATCACAGTGCCGACAGGTAGACACAGAAGGGTGAAGAGAAAATCAACAAAATCCTTGCCATCTTCGGCGAAGAGAACTTTTTTCTGTGTCAATCAGAAGCTTCAAGCTTCAAACCAACAGCCAGATTTACAATTCGTTTTGTTTTGTGTTTGCTTTTTCATATTAGTTGTATTGTATCTTCAGACTTCACTAGTTAGAGGCAAAAGACAGTGAAAAGGCCAACTAACAGGCCATGCTCCCTTCAGCAAACAGAATTTTGTGGCTTTTTTACATGGACTAGGAGTTTCACATTTTTTGGTGATTGCCATTGATGACATCAAGAAGACTGATCCATAATTACATGGACGAGTTTATTCTTTGGAATGGATGATGAACTTCATAGATCAAGTAAGAGGAGAGCAATTTGATAGATAAAGAGAGAGAAGATAATAGATCACTAGAACATGTAATTTTGTCACACGTACGCGTGAGTACGGATTAATCTGGTGTGAAAAATAGGAGGAGCTGTAATGCAAGGCATCAAGAAGCTTTTATAAGCTTGCAAACTGCCATGTTAGAAACAAAACTACATTTGATGTGTTTAAAAATTGATGTAAGAATTTGTGTGACATGACAAGGGTTTGAGTTGCAAGGTGTCCGTGTTAGTTAACCATAGGTTTCATGCAAATGTTAACCACCAATATGCAAAGACAGAAGAGTGAAAAGAAAATCAATAACTTATTTGCTTGCTTGTAACTCTTTGTGCAAAGAGGACAGAGAACTGCCCAAATGGAAAAAAAAACAGAGCACTGTTATGAAAGTTGGTCTCCGGCCAACTGGTTTGAGATTTGATCATGCCGAAAAGAAACTAAGAAATGGAGGCCCAAAACATAAAATCAACAGAAAAACCAAAAACAAAACAGTGCAAATGCCTTAGAGAATCAGTGCTTCATAAAGTCCACATTTATCCCCGCGGAGCAGTGTAGATGAGCAAGTTTACTTCAGCCGCACTATCGGTTCTCCTTGTTCATTTTTGTATCAACGACAGTGCAAAAGGATCATTGGGAAAGCAGATTGGTTTCCTTGGACTTGTTAGGTCGTTTTTACCATATCTTGCGGTATAATATTTGTTACCAATAAGATCAGAGGGCCAACGTTGAAATAATCCAATGTAAGCCAATATAGTCAATGTCAATCCACAAACTAAAATGAACCTCCAAAAGCTCAATTTCTTTAGAGGACCAAAGTTGAAACCTTCATGCACTTTATTACCAAGGAAAACATTTGTAAGAGCGGTTTTTGACTCCAATGATGCCTTCACCAACTTCAAACCCTAAGAAGCAAAAGCAAAAACAAAATATGTAGTATCAATCAATAGACACAGATAGAGAACACTATTTACTGTAAACAAAACAAATTTTACAAAAGAGATCAAACCTCTTCAATGTCAAGATCAACCACCTTCTCTTCAAAAGCATCAACCGTCTTAAAGTTCAACGCTTTAAGCAATGTGATACTTGATACAGTAGACATAGGCTTCACTTCCAAATCATCCATTATCATGTACATAATGTCGCTCTTGACGTATCCGCTCTTAATATTGCCAGACGTCACTCCAGTAGGTTCTGGTGGAGGAGCAGCATAAAACACCTGGGTGGATATTTTGCATGGAATGCACGCTGGACAAGTTGTTACAGGACTATCAGAAATATGGCGGTTGCAATTTGCACAGAGGTAGAACCGTTTAGGCGCATTCGAGTCATTGTTGGCTGGCAAACGAAGGATGTTAGCGCCAGAAATTGTTGTCTTGGGTTTCAGCAGGGAGTCTTTGTTAAGATTGGGTTGCATGTATGTGTCACTGAGATTTTCGAGGCTCTTGTAAAGTTTGCCTAAGCAACCAACCATGCCACCATTAGAGAGGAGGAGCCTAGTCACAGTTGCAACATGCAAGGACAGAAGAGTGAAGAGAAAATCCACCACTTCCTTGCTTGCTTCAGCAAACAGAACTTTGTTGCTTTTTGTGTCAATCAGGAGCTTCAAACTCACAGTAGCGCTGTTGGTGGTAGCCATTCAGGCAATATTGAGGACAGAGGAGAAGGGCAGCATGTGCTTAAGCGTTTATAAAAAGACCCATTTATAGGCTTAGAAAGAAGTCCTAAATTCAAAAAAAATTCAAAAATGGAATGGTGAATGGATCATGAAGTGGGAGGGTCACCTTGGACCCTGCATCAGTCGACCACAAAGCCAACTCTACATGTACAAATCTTTATTACCAATAAATGTGTCTTTATTTTCAACATAACATTTCCATCAACTAGGCTACATTTCCAATTTCTTTTTGTCATCTCAAGGGTCGCCTTATCGGCAAAGCAATATACATCCTGACGGACTATAGTTCCTCTGCAGCGTGGACAAATAGCTTAGGGTTGTCTGAGACATAGCAGCAACTGGTCGCAAAACAGAACTGTTCGGCGGGCCTTTGGATCATCGTTGGTCAAAATCCGAAGGACATTAGCTCCAGCAGAAAGTGTTGTAGATTTCAGCAAGGCCTCGTCCTTGTTAGTAGCAGGTTGTAGTATGTGTCACTGAGATTTTCAATGATCTTGTAAAGTTTGACTAAGCTTCCACCCATATCATCCACGAGTTTAGTGGCAATACCTAGAGGCAAAAGACAAGACTAAAATGCAAATCCACAAAAGTGCTTTCCCCCTTCAGCAAACAGAACTTTGTGGCCTTTTTACATGTAGTTAATTTTGGTGATTGCCATTGATGCCGTGAAAAAGACCGATCAATAATTTTATTAGAAAGCCTGAAGTGAACTGGTCGCCATTGATGCCGTGAAAAAGGCCGATCAATAATTTTATTAGAAAAGCCTGAAGTGAATTGGTCGTGAATACCAGTTGATGGATAATATATTTACCCCACAACTAGGATTGTTGTTTTTATCTCATTAATTATCATCCTCTGTTTCAGGATTTATCTTCAATAATTACATGATTAATAGATCATTATAAGGCTGCTTTTGAAGATGAGAATTCCTTATTTCACAAATGATAATCCGTATAGACGAGAACAGCTTGCTGACTTATAAGATTTATTTCATTCATATGACTAGGATTTTGATCTTGAACTGACTAAACATGGACCTTAATAGCTCAATTTAATTATAAATTGTATTGATCAAATCCATTCACGCATCCTAAACCAGACGAAACTGATAAATCAAATATTCTCCCTGATTTTGATGAGTGCTCAATGGAATCAAATCGTTACAACTTACAACCATTTTCACTTATCATTCTTTTTAAGTTGGGAATGCTATTGAAATCTATGCCCGTGTACATTATGAGAGAGAGAGAGAGAGAGAGAGAGAGAGAGAGAGAGAGAGAGAGAGAGCATTAAGAATGGAACGTTTAATATAAATTGCTTGGCCTGAAAAGGCATTCAGGAATTGGTCCTTGTATTAGTGAATATACAAGAAAAATCTGATTATGAGTTACCAGGGTGTTACAGCACTGTACAACCAGTTGATTAGCAATAAGGATGTTAGAGACCAGCATCATCCTCCTCCTGTACAAAACACATTATGTCAGGATTTGAAGAACACAGCAAACTAAAGACTCGTCAGGGAAAATAAAGGTCAACAATCCTGATTGGAATTAATATGTACCCAGCTATTCAAAATCCTTATTTGAAAACTCTATCTTCATTTTTTTAATTTACTTGGGAAAGATGACATCAAGGAAAATATTATGAAGCATTTTCAAATGGAACTTCTTCCAAGACAACGTTAGTATTTCTCAATTCATTTACCTCAACTCTTTTTATATTACTTGGTTTCGGTTTTGATGATTTGCTAGCAGTATCAGACACTACCATCCAATCAAAATTCACTTCTAATTGGGGATTTTTAATATAAATGGAGACATTAATAGACTTTTCAAGGGGCACCTACTGCAGCTGGCACAAAATAATAGCAAATAAGGTCTGGTTCCATATGGCAAGTGATTCAGCAACTTCAAAGATAAAAAGTGCATAAGCAAAAACATGTTTAAATGCAGGAGTTGGAACAAAATCAAGTGAAACGGCCTAAGGTTGCATGCACCCTGTTAGTTAACCTAGTATTTCAGTACAAGATCATCAGACTAGGAAGGTTGATTCACTAGTGACCTGCCACATGACCGTGAAAACAGTGTAATCCTAATTCCACTCCAACCAAAAGCTTATTATCTTTCAATTTGGAACCAACTTAAGTCAGTTCCGGAGGTACTCTTCCAGGATGTGGCATCTTGATAACCGGTGAACTTGTCTAAACAGAATGGCCATCTAGAGTTACTATCCCACTCGCAGTTCCTAAAAATAGTGCACTAGCATGTCATATATATGGAGGAAATTAGTTCAACAATGGTTACCACCAACTTCATTACCTCAATGGTTTTTGCCACTGGAGTTTATCCTGATGCCTGAAAATGTTGGACTGCAAATTAAGCCATGTGAAGAAAAAGAAAATTGATTTGAGCAATGGGTCTATAGATCTCTCCTCATTTGCACTGGCGCTACAATAGACTCAACAATTCGAGAAACTCCACTGGTTCTTCATGTTCTTTAACAATCTGTTCAGATACAGCATTCAGTGGTCACAGTTAGAAACCCTGTCAGATTTACCAACAACTGACAAGCATGCATTCCACAGGCTTTAATCCAATAGAAAGCAATACTTTGAAGAAATACAGAATGAAAGAACACAAAGAAATCGACAAAGATACCTTAAACCCCAAACAAGCCATAAATGAACACATTAGTACTTCCAGAAATATAACTGGTCACTGCTGAGTAATGACAACGGTTTAATAAATAAGAGTAATGACTGCTGAGTTTGGTAACAAAATAATTACAGAATAAATCTAAACTCCAACAGCAAACAATTACAGACGACAAACTCCACCCAGAAAAAGAAAAAAAAATTGACAGCTGTCAAGTAACTCAACAATCACAAGTCAAATCCCTTGAGATGCAAAATAGTAGGAATGAATATAGAAGTTAGTAACAGAAACCTTACAGCAAACAGACTAAATTTACAAGAAGCCCCAGTAACCGAGCCCTAAAAACACAAGTACCAAAAATAATTATGAAATTAAGAATCGAAGTAAACTCAAATTTATATTCCATACCTTAATTATTGTGTCCTTTGGCATACCCATTTGGATAAGGACATCACAGCTAACTTGATCCCAGTCAGTCTCTTCTACATCAGTTCTCTCTCTGCCACTATCTAATTGAATCGGAAAATTACCACAGTGAAAAAATCTTCCTACCCAAAGATACAAAACACTGTCTTCACTTTTTCCAACACCTGTATTTGGTGAGTAAATAATGAAAGCAGATTTAGAATCTAGTTCCCTCACGCCAAATGTAGCAATCTTCTCTAAACTGGGCCAGCGGCATACAAAAGGTTGCATAAAATTACATTGTGCTGGACAACTTTCCCCAGTCTCCTTTGAGGCAGAGGATCCTGCACCTTCTTCCAAAGGGCAACTTTTCCAAGGTTCAGCAGAATGTTTGATAAAAGAAGGTTCCTTCTGGCATATGTTGCACTGTTGTCTTGAATCTTCCCCTCCATTTTGAACACCATCCTTTGGCTCTAATACCTTGTCAATATCATCTATGTGACCTACAGAACAAGTACTGTCATTTATCCTAACACCATCTTCTTTAGTGGAAAGAAATTTTGAGGAAGTACTCATCAGCCTCATCTTATCACTCATCACAGGCAACTTGAGAGACAAACTACCTCTGCGCTCTGCAAGCGAAGATAACTTTTTAGATGGTAATGAGGTTGATCGGGAATAGGACTGTGAACTACAATTGGAAACAACGTTTTCTGGACTGTTAGACATGGGTTGATCAGAAGATTTAGATGAGAGGAGAGACACGTCAGAATCATTTGACAATGTTGAAGAGACTGGAAGAGAGCATGAAGCTGCAGATGGTGAATCCATAGAGGATTCTGAAAAGTACTTCGAACTAGTGCTTGATTCAGAAGATATGGAATCTGGTGATAGATATAGAGGTGAAGAAGAAGAGGACGATGAAGATGAAGACGATGCTGATGAATTATTTTTTGCTGTATGAACTAACATCATAGAATCTGAATAGACCCTGGAGAGGGATATCCTGGGAGCTAAGACAAACTCCTTCATATTGCCAGAGGCAAACTTACGCCTGAGCATACTCCAGCTACTCTCTCTAGCAGGAAGATGGGTTTCGTGTTCATTCTCGGAGGATGCAAATGGAGGTACAAAACCCCCACTAATAGCTTTCTGGAAAATTTCAAAATCAACATTATATCCGTCTGTTTTCCTTTCACCTGGACGAATCTTAACTGTTGATTCCCCAACCTCCCCTCCATTGCCAGACTTATCCATCAATGGCAAAATGTTTGAGAAAGCATCCCAAAAGTAAGCTGGTTCTTCCCCTTCCTTGATTATAGTTATTGGACCTTGCACTCTCTCATACCGAACAATCTGACAAACAGCCCCTCTTGCATCCCTTTCCATGATGGCCTCACAATTCTTACCAATCCAAACATATATGGCAGATGGTATATGAACAATAAATGCACCTCTAGAATCCAGAGCAGAAGGTGATGGATCATTCAACATTTTTGGGACAAGATGCAAAGGATCATACGGTGAATGTGGGGCAATTCTGTACATCCTCAATAGTGAACTCGGGCTAAGAGGAAAAGCATGGACCCTCTTTTGGCACTGTAACAACTGACAAGCGAAACCCATATTCGGATCAGCAATGCCTCTTGCTGCTTTCACATACTGAAATGCATCATCAAAACTCTGTCCTTCTCTCCACATAAGATACGCAATCACCAATGAGGTGGACCGAGATACCCCTTGACAACAATGAACAAAAACTCTTCCACCTTGTTCCCTAACATCTTCAAAGTAATCAAAAACATCATATAAGATACTAGTAATGTCCTCGGTTGGACTGTCCTGCAACCATAGAGTTCTATACACAAAATCCGCCTTGAAATACTCGGGACAAACAAAACCCACGCAATTTAGAACATGTGTAATCCCATTCTGCTTAAGTATGTCCCTATCCCTTGCAACCGCATCTCCGCCAAGATAAATGTGTTCGGCCACTTTGGAACACTCTTTATCAAAGAAAGCAATCTTATCCCTCCTCACAAGCCCACCATTCTTTTCTGGGTTTCGCTGAATTGTTGATAAATCAAGCTTCAACCTCTCCCCACCACCTCTTCCACTTGGGGTAGGAGGTTGTGGCCACTCACCAATATCGTCCGAACCCGCCTTGGGCCACTCATCTAAGCTACGTCGAGCGAGAGGTAATTGCAAGGGGGGCAAACAAGACCTAGCCTTGCTATTCTGCTGGGACCGAGGGGTTAAAGGCACGGGAAACCTACGGTGGTTTTGGACACTGTTTCCTACAGTGGCATTTGGATCTGCTAGGTCTTTTTCCTCAGTCTCAGGGTTGTGAGGGGTGGTCCGTGAAGCAGACCATGATGCTGAGCGCCAGAACATCTTCCGAGAGCTTGAAAGCTGGGCCGGAGGCCGTGAAGTAGCGGAGGCATCCTCCTTACTCACCATGCCCAATTGAAATTCTTAGTGCAAAACCCAGAAATCTGAAAAACCTCTAATTTGTTTCCATTTTTGCTTTAGTATGCTCCACCAGAAGAGAACGAGATGGGGTTTCGATGTACAAGAATGTAAGGAATCAAAACCCTATCAGATCAAGCATCAGCTACAAACACACTCTGACAGAAACACAAAATCGTAGTAATCTTATTAATTAACACCAAATCAAAAGTTCCAAGCATATAGTCATTGGAAAAATTAGCAGCAAATTAAATCAATAACGTGCCAAAAACAAGAGAAATTGTGACGCGAAAACAGTTAGGGTAGAATGGAAAACCCAATCTTGAGCTGAAGCCTAAATTATTCGTCGGCAAGGAGAAATTTAATAATACCAATTGAAAACGAGGCAACTTGTGAGTTTCTAGGGTTCTATGTTGATGTGAAACTGCGAGAGAGAGAGAGAGAGAGAGATATTAGATTTGTGACTTACAGATTGAGATATGAGAGAGGAAGTGTGAGACAGGCGGAGCAGAGCTGTGAAGGAGACTGAGAAGCCTTGGGAGCTGAGAGAGAGAGAGAGAGAAAGAGAGAGAGAGAGAGGAGGCAAAGGCACAGGAGGGAAGGGGAGCGAAGGAGAAAGATACAGTATGCAGGCAGTGGGTTTTCAATTGCTTCTTCTTTGTTTATTTGACTGTTTCAGAGAGTGACAGACCCATTTTATAAACCCACCCATATACCCATATACCCATACCCATATATATACTTTTTTTTTCCTTTCATTTTCAGAATTAATGACCAATGATAATTCCATCATTCATTTTTTAAAGGTAATTCAAAGGCAAATGATAATATTTTTTATTCTTAATAATAAGCTCTTATTGAGTTTTTCCCTCTTTCGCCTCTCCATATTTTTGCATTTTTCTTGTTTTGGTTATATTTTTATGGTGAAGATTTACAGTTCTAAATTTGGTAATTGGTTGGACCAAAAAAAATTAGTTAGGGTAGTCAAAACACAAAGTCCCAAATTAGTAACTTTGAATTTTGACTACTGCACTACAACAGACAATTGACTCCTGCAAAGATTCAGGTAATCAAATCCTTCCAACTTAGGATGGAGCAACTTTTATTAGTAGTATCATTAAAATTTTGATTAAAAAATCAGATATTAAGTTTGAACATAATATTTACCTTCTTTTTTTTTCGTTCGAAAGAAACGTCATATTTACTTACAAAATTAACATGTATGTGATGGCTTGGCCCAATGGACTCGTCAAACCAACCTAATGACCCAATAAATTGTCTTAATATCATTCGTGTTCGCGTAAATGATTGAGCCGTTGAAGCATTGTGACCCTAAATAGCAAATAGTTGACAAGTATTCTTTTTATCAAATGACACAAGTAATGAGAGATTGAAACAAGACCTCCACCAATTCTCTTAATAATTTATTTTTTTAAGTCCAAATAATTGCTTTAAATTTTGTGGTGCCAGACTCCCTCAACATAGAAGTGTCACATTTCGGGAAGAAAAACAAGAACAATGATTGCTACTAATTGCTAATTTTCACATTTAACGAGGGAGGAAAGTGACTATGAACCTAGAAAGTCCCAAATTCACACATTCGTTAAGCCATGAATATGACCCTTCAGACTCCCACACAAATTTAGGTCAGAAAAATGTAAAAGCAAAGTCAAATTCTTGGCGGAATTTGAAGGAAATTGGTTTTAGTCAGTGTTGGCATCATTTTTTCATGGTTTATTTCTTGATTGCTTGACAAGTTATCCTGGACTTGACAAGTGCGATCTGATTGATTTTCAAGGATAAATTATATTCAATGGTTCATCAAAATCCATCAAACAACAGATTAAAGGCCATGAAATAAACTAGATCAGTTAGATGTGGGCATGTTTCCCTCTCAAATAAAATAACGACGGATAGAGAATCAAACAGATTTGTGAAGAAGATATTGCCATGCATGTGATAGACTGATAGCATCTTTTCGTATTTCTTCCTTTCATATGTTGGTCGAGTACATAATTCGACCCCATCATCTTTCCAAGTCTGCACATTAGAGAATCGGTCTACGCCAAGACCGGCATTTTAAAAATCAGCCTAGGCGGTCCAGGCAGGTCTGACCCAGAAAAAAAGGGCCATTTTGGAATCTCCCAAGGACGAGATGACAATGGTGATATGTGTGTGAGAGAGAGAGAGGGGTCGCAGGTTATAACTTACTTCTGAGCAAGAGAGAGAGAGAGAGGGGTTGGAAGACGGCCGTGTTAGACTTTATATCAATGATGGTACTTTATAATTTACATATCCTTTTATTTTGAATGATTTTGGTATAAATTTAAAATTTATAATACTAAATAATTATATATATATATATATATATATAAATAAACGCCTAGGCAACAACAACCCATTTTTCCAAATACAATGAACATACTCTGATCCATAATATTTCCCAGCCAATGATCTCAACATCAAGAAGCCCAAGATTCTAAACCGTAAATTCTGACAATAATAGCTATCATAAATAGGCATGCATGTTTGAACAACAGAAATGCTAAATCTCTAGAACGCTTGCATTTATCTGTAGAGCATTGGAAGGGAAGTTTAAGACCAATGAAATCACCTAATATGATAATCGAAGTATTATTGGTCATAGCATGACCCAGACCAAATTGGAGGACTTCGAGCATAGAAGTTGGTCACTGGAGCAGCTTGAACTCCACGTCTATTCAAGAGGCATCTGAAGTATTGTAGCCGAGGCAGTGCAGTCAAATTACCATTTCGTGCAGATGTTGCCTCCCTCCTGCTCCACAAACGCTCTACAGGGAAAATGAAATGGCGTTCAATCTCAAGCTGAAGAGTGCCCAGAAAACACACAGTACCAAGTACTCGCTTATATACATATCACGCCTGGGAGATTGACTCTAAATCAACTTAATTCACTACTTACCTGCAGCAGCAGCAGCTCGAGGCCAAATAGTTTGCTGAACATCTGATGTATCAGCTGTCTCACCCCACATGCATACTTCTCCTCCAAGAACAAGCTTTTGCTGAGAAACATCATTAATTCCTTCAAGTGGTTCAGCATTATAAGTATCTTCCCAAGGGACATCTAGATGGTCAAGATACCAAACACCTTGATTGCTGAAAATACATCTGAAACCTTTGGCAACAGCCTTCGGACAAACCCCTGGGCCCAACCTATTTCATTTATAAAGTTAACAAAGTGCTTAAGACCATTAGAGCTTCACTTGATGCCATCACAAAACTGTACATAGGGAAGAAAATCACCAGTTATGCACTACAGTCTTTGGATTGAGCTTTGTTGGGAAGGTGTTGAAGGTTTCTTCCCTGTGGTAAGAAAACTTAAATCTGTCACATGATTCTTTACAGTATTGAGAAACAAAAACATCGAAACACTCTTTGAATAGTTGAATTCCTTTATTTAAAAGCTGTTGATTAATAACTTTAAACTGATGCAAAAACCTAGCAAGAATTTACGAGGGAACAAAAAAGGATGGTAACAATTCTATTGATATTAGACATACCAGTTTACCGGGGTCCAATTTTTTGAAATTGCTATTTCTTGTGCTTTGAGAACAAAATACTGATATGCGTCTTTAGTAGTCATGTTGTGTTGCTGAAGCCTACAAATATAAAGACCAATGCACAGAGTTACATGCAAATTGTAACCATCGCTTGAAAGGTAGAAGATTACATGCAAATTGTAATCATATAAGCTCTGAAAAATAATGAAAAGGCCAAATGAAGTGAGTACCATTGCTTCACATGTCGAGTGGAGCTCCAACAAGCTGTCAAATTTTGAAATAACATCAGATCGTATGCAAACATGAAACAACACAGAGAGAGAGGTTCTGCACATGACATCTAATGAAAATTTACAATCACACGATACACGAGTTTACATACAGGTCCTTAGAATATAACCCATCACAGATCCATCATATTTTGCAAGGAGAAGAAAGTCATCCGCTCACTTACAAGTTATGATATCTCAATGTAGGTGTAAACTATAAACATATGTACTCCTTCAAATTCTTGGAAGGAGAACGAATAATAATTGGTAGATTCTCCTCTAAGACTTTATCAGGATATAGAGAACAATACAACACTCTCTAGCTCATAAAAGTTAAGCGTGCACCAAAATTTTATAAAAGCAAAGTACTTATAATTTCATTGTTTATCAGAAAAAAATTATGTAAAAAAATAACACAAAGATTAGTGTCGCATAAAGAAAAAGAGTAAACTTCTCCATTCTTGTGTAAATAAAATGACTGCAGAATATTAGCTTAGAACAAAAGGTTTTACTTACTTGTATTAACTTCATCACCGCCCAAGTGGAATAGCTCAAAGGGAAAAATCTTTCTCATATCTGTACGTTGGAAACTAAAATTGCATAAGTATATGGAAGATAAACACAAGATTTGCCACAGTAGCTATAGACAATTATACATTTTTTAAAGTAGAAATCATACATGGACATGATATTCATGATTTTCAGGTCCTACTTCTGTGCATCAAGTGTGTAATCAGTGAGAGAGAGCGAGAGAGAGAGAGAGAGAGAGAAGTACTCGATACCCATACAGTAAGTAATCTATAAGCACACAATAAATAACAGGGTAAATGTTTTCATGAGCTTAACCTGTCAGAATTCCAGAAACCACATCAAAAGTTGAACTCTTTGATACATCAAGTGGCTCTTTGCAGGAAGTGGAAGGCCAAAGATTAGGATATCCAGCGCCCCTGCGCAAGAAAATTAAGAACAGGTTTGAGTTTTCATAAATTAGCAGTTTTACCAGATGACCAAAAAGCACTATTCGTCAATGAGAATGCAATGTCAGAATAACTCTGATCTGTTTGCTACTGTAATTTAAGTTTCCTGCCATGTGGTAAGGCACAAAAATAAAGTACCATACACGAAAAAATTCAGTTCTGCCAGACCAAGTAGTAAATGAGAAAAGAATTTTCTCCACAAACGATTCTAGATAGTGGTAAGCAGTAAGCATGTTGTGATGTTCAACTTCTCTAAATCATTTTCAGTGGAAGTTATCCAAGATTACAACATGACATCATAGGAAAAAAAAAATTACTTGTATAGAAAGAATTGGGTATTATATTGACAACTAAGTATCTTCTTCACTCTCTCAGTTCCTAGAAAGCCATGACAAAATAATTACTGACGAAACCAAAGCGAAGTAAGCTATGTCCCCTCATTTGATCAGACCATACTAATTAAGCATCAAATCCTAGCTTAGAGAAAATAGCTACTTGATGGGAAAGGCTGAAAAATCCACTTTTATCATACTAAAAATAATTTAACTACAATAATATGTCCAAATCATTAGCTTAAGAGGACAGTTAAACTGTCCACAACATTATCTTAAGACAAAAGATGATATTGAAAAAGATTTTTACCATGATTCTGCATGACCAGGGACATCTACTTCTGCCATAACATTAATGCCTGCCACAGAAACATGCAAAATGATCAAGTAAAATATGTAAAATAGATTGTATCGCGTCCAACCAGGCTAAGGACACAACAAGGAATAGTAAAGAACATAAGCTTATTTTCTAGCCCAGTAAGGAAATAAAGACTACGCACCTCTTGTTTTGGCAAAGCTTCACATTAACATGTCAAAAAGTGGAAAGAAAACACAAAATTAGTCTATTTAAGAGTATGAAAGCACAAACTGCATATCAGATATGCAGATTAAACAAGAAGGCGTGGCTATATATTTAGAAGGCTGCAAGAATAATTCAGTAGTTACTTTTTCAGGTTCACATTTTTGGTCCTCTGCAAGCATTCTATTTTATTTTATCTCACTCTAAGATAATCAGTAATAATCACTGCCATTATCACAGTTTTCAAAATAAGTCCCATTCAGGTTCATGATCCATCGTAAAATTCTCTGAAGATATGATGTATCATAGTACTTTCTGTTTTCAACAGCTAGAATGCAATGATTAGGATGAATACGGAATACACAAGTAATCTTCAGCTCTTCGAAGAAGTTCAAAAGCTAATGAGGATTGAATAATCTACAGAAATCTTACCTCACAATTTCAATTGCATCCTCAACTGTGTAGCGCTCCCACTTTGTATATGAACCTTTCCACAACTTTGGGTATGAAGGTACTTCTAGAGGAAATGACTCTCTATCTATGACGTGCCAATGAAGAACATTCTACTTAATGTAATTCGCAACATCAGTATTACATGAAAAAACATTAGATAAACAAATCATAGTGTAATATCAGGAAGGTGCTTAAATGAATCCAAGTGCAAAAACCCTTCTGGGTAACATATCTTACAAGTTTAGCATATGACATCGATTCAATTACTTGTTTAATCACGTCAACTGGTAAATAGTGCCTTGATGTATCTGCAAAAGTGTGAAAAATATGGGCACTAAGAATCATTATAGGACAAACTAATTAATGAACTTAGAAGAGAATTCCTTCTTTCATGAAAAATAGTAGCTTACCAAGCAAAAGCCCTCTGTATGCAAACCTTGGACTGTCCCGTATGTACCAGGGTGCCCTGTATACTTGTACAGATTTACTCCCGTAATCAAAAGTACACAATTGGCTGAATGTCTAGAACATTGCAAAAGAGAAGACTGAATAAGGAAAGGGAGAAGCTGGAACAAAACATAGCCATGCCTATTTGTTTACAATGAGAGATTTGTTAAGCATACTATCATGAATACAAATTAAGCAGCTTATCCAACAGTTGATCTCAATTTCTAATCCAGAAATATTTCATTCTCATTATTTATATAAGTAAGCAATAAATACTTAAGCATTTCAAGCAGATATTTTGACAACCACCAGAGTTAGCAGAGGAACATATGACATCGTTATTCTACAATTTCAAAATGGCGTAATTTGATAAGGAGCCACCAGTAAGAGGAACAACTTATCACAAGTGATGCATTACCCAGGACTAGATCAACAGTACCCCAGTAACATTTGACATTTGACTGGCAGCTGCAAACCCAACAGAGGATCAGGTAAGCGTTCACTCATGCACCTCAGTTTGAGAGAGCAGAAGATGGAGGAAACATGATTTCCATCTGTTGGTCATCTGTACAAAGTCCAGTTAATGATAGCTTGTCTCTCCCTAGTGCCTACCTCATTCTCTTCCTCACTTGCCTTATTGGAAGTCAAGTTGCAGTCCAACTCACGAAAACAACCCCCCTACTTATATACATGGGCATGTACACCAACATGCCTAATTCGTAACACAATGGAGTAACAATCATACATACCTCTAATGCCCGCAGAGCACCATACACTGTGTTTGCCTGCAACCAGAAAGGGAACAAAAATCAACATCCATGGAACGTCAGCACATCCATACCATTATTTTTCCATTCATTTACTCCAAAATGTGAGTCGATATTGATTAATTTTGATGTTAACGCATCATGTACTAGTCAGAGCCAGAGTTTTAGTACTACAGACTTGCAAGACATTCTTAGTTCTTTGGTTTGAAACCTCTCATCCCCATTTTTTAGTTATCTGTTAACCTCATGAAGTACACTCAATGCAGGATGGGAAAGCATATATATGCTTTGCTTGATATAAATTGCTAGCTCAAAGAGCTTAACCCATCCAGGGAACAGGGCAGTGCAATTCACAACAAATTATCATCTGCTTCTGCATCTAATTGTCAGAATGCACCAAAGAATTGAAAACCCACAATCTTCAATCCTCAATTTACCTCAATGGTGGCCTCCCCAACAATCGATTGGCCATCCTTCTTCTGCACGAACAAAGTATAGCTCTCATCCACACCAAGTTGAAGCTGAAAATAGCCAAACCCGCTAACAAAAGTCAAAACCACAATCATTTTCTCAAAAACAAATACAAACTCTGAATTTCTGAAAAACCCCAACTCACATCTTCGCTATCTGAATGAACCACAACTCTCAGTTTAGTAACATCATAGGACAGTCTCCTCCCCCTTATTCTATCAAAGGAAGAAACCCCATGACTGTTCTTGAATATAATAGCTTTGTAGCGATCAAACCCAAGTCTGAGAATGCTAGAGTTGCCTCCGTTCCCGCCCACAACGAGCGAGAGCTGTGGGTGGACAGAAAGGGTCTTGTTGCCGAAGGTGAACTCGGAAGGCAGAGGCCATAGGTACGTTAGAGAGTCGTTGACTTCATCAGCTGAATGGCCTTGGGTTTGCAGAACACAGAGGGAGTGAAAGAAGACGAAGAAGATTAAGAACAAGGTGGACATGGCCTGCCTGAATTCTGAGAAATGAGAAATGGGATTGAGTTTTGAGTTTTGAGTGTTCGATAAGAACTATGGTCTGTGTTTTGTGACAGGAGAGTGGAGTAGGTGAAACATCCAATGATGGAGATGATGAGAAGAAGACAAAGTTGGTATAAACGGAATCAAAAAAGATGAAATCCTCAGGTTAATTTTCTTTATTTTTCTCTAATACAGTGTTTATGACTGAATATTTGTCTCTGATTCTGAACTTTTGAACAAAAACAATAAAAGTTAAGGGTTAATTTCAATTTAGTGCTATGAATTCTCACTTTTAAGGCATGTTTGTCCATGCACTTAATTTTAATAATTATGTATCCCAATTTTTTTATTTTTTTGCAATATGGTTACGGTGTTAACGTCACATTCAAAATTTCTGTTAATTGCCTATGTGGCAAGCATGTGTTCCTTCTATTAGTTTCTTTTAATGTCAATTGAAGTGTATTTTTAGGCAATTATTGTCTTCCCACGCAAACTTGCAAAACATGTGTCATAGCTACTTAAAAACAGTACTTGCAGAAGACAACAATTGCCCGAAAACACCCTTCAACTAACATCGAAAGAAGCGAATGGGTGAAAACTAGACTTGCCACATAGGTAATAACATAAATTTTGGTTGTTAAGTGAAGCCGAAACTATATTGCAAAAAATTTAAAAATTAAAGTACATAATTGTTAAATTTGAGAGTACATGAATAAATCTGAGTGAGAGTACAAGATATTAAATTGAAATTAACCCAAAAGTTAACGTTGGCTAGAGTTTAGTGAGCATCTTGCTCCAATACAAATACTTTTTTTAAACAAATGTTTATATTATTGATGAAAGTTAAAATTGTTGTCTTCATAATACTACAAAATTGTGATATTTGCTCCAACAAAAACAATTATATTTATTTTTAAAACGCAAATATTTAGTTTTTTTTTTCTGGAAATATTCATGGAATGTTTGCCTTTATGTTGTAAAATTTTTTTTTTTTCTGGTTATATTCATGATTTTTTTTAATAAAAAATATTTGGGTGTAATTCATAGTTGATTGCAGAAAAGGTGGAAACTTGAACTTAAGATTTATTGTTTGTCCACCCATCTAATATCACCCAAGCAAAGCTTTGTAGGCACAATAAGATACTTATATTTTTGCGTCCATTTATGCCTGTTAATAGTTTTTGTGTTCTTTCACCCCATACCCAGTGTTTGAACCTAGGAGTTATTTTTTGTCTACCCATCTAATAACACACAAGCAAAAGTTTGTGGGCACAATAAGATATATATTTTTTTGCATCCATTTATGCAGGTTAATAGTTTTTTTTTGTTCTTTCATCCCATACCATGGGCCGACCCATGAAATTTTAAGGGGTGGGCTAATTTTATTTATTTATGGGAAATCCATTATATTACATTTTTCTTCTTCTTAAAAATAGGTTTACATGGTTAATTGGCTATAGGCTATCGGTACTTTTTTTTTTATATGCAAAGAAAATGAATGGTAACAACTATTCTTCAATTAACAATTTTTAAATTTTATGGGAGTACAAATAGAAGTAGGGAGTGCAATCATATAGATCTATAATTGCAGAATCCTAAGTTACAACCGTTCAACAAAACCAAGAGACAACTAGACAAGTAAATAGATTAAACCATAAAAAGGATGAATCATCAATAAAATTCAAAATTTAACACCCAAAATCATAAAAAGCTAACAATAACAATTGAAATTGGAAATTAAACAAAAAGTAAGAGAGAAACTTACTAATATTAAAGAACCCATTGGATATAGGTTAATACAATTTTAAAGAGAAGGAGACCTACTACTTCTAAGCTCTCAAGTTCAAATATAAGGTTATAGTTACATGGATGGGTAACATAAAAACATGATGTTTGATGTGTGTAGGTGCTTCTAGAGATGAAATCTTATGATCGAGATAGGCTAATGTCAACAAAGAGGGGTGGACTATTTTTAATTAACCTGAGTTTGACTTATAAAATTAACACTAATTTTTTTCATCTCAAAATTTAGCATTGGACTAGAGCTCACTCTATAATCCATACATAGATCCACCTTTGCCCCATACCCAGTAGGTGGGCAGCAAATTAAAGAAGAAAAAAGGAAAATACATGAGAATACATCAGATCTAAAAGCCAATATAAAGGAAACATAAACAAACGTTGTCTAGATGGTGTAGCACCTAAGTTGGCTAAATGATGTATAGGTTAGTTAGACGGTGTACCGTAGCACATAGGTTGGTGAGGTGGCGTAGTCAAGTAAAAAAACTTACATGTAACGGGGATATCATTATTTTGCTATCTCAGCCAATAACACAATAATATGTGGAAAAGTTATCCTACGTGTCATTACATTATTGGCCGGAAATAACAAAAAGTGATATTACTGTTACATGAGAGTTTCTTGTAATTAGGGGTAGAGTTTGGTTTTTATATATGAGGACCAAAAATGAAAAGCACAAAAGTTAATTTTACTACTATATTCTTTCTTTTTTCGTCTGACAATTTTACTACTATATTCACTAGCCTCCCTGCACGCACTTTCGCACGTGCGAGAGGCTTTTTTTAAATCATGCACTACGCACAACTTACATGGTTTCGCAATTGTATTTATATAGATGTCCGTTTCAACAGTTTCACATTTTAATCTAGCACGTGTGATAAATCGTTGTCTTAAAAATTTTCCTTTATGGCCCATATTTTTCTAGACATCCATCTTAGCAGTTTACATAAAAAAAAAAAAAAAAAAAAAAAAAAAAAAAAAAAAAAAATAAATGAAGTAAACTAAGAGATGGAAATCTATCTCTAGAAAAAAAAGGAAAACTAACTCTAAAGACTCGACGATTTATCGACATTCGCACTGGATTAAAACTATTGAAACTATTGAAACGGACATCTATATAAATACAATTATGAAAAAATATTTACGAAATTTTGTAAGTCGCGCGTAGCGCGCGTACAGAGAGGCTAGTCTAATAAACTTTAGGAGCTAGGGGGATTCTTATTCAATTAATTACCCACACATTAATCTATATATATAAATATTCACATATGAGGAAGACATGCAACGATCAAGACCACTTGCGCCACTCATTCCTCTCTAATTGATCTTTCACTTTTTCATTGTCAATCTATACATAAATAACATGAGATGAGACCAAACTTAAACATATACTTTTAAATTTGTACTAATCAAATTTTAGCATAATTTGGGATATGTATACTCACCTTCAATTTTGATAGTTTATCCTTTGCTACTTGCCTAAATACTTATAATTTTTTTTAAAAACTTAATTAAGGGGATTAAATGGGTAATTTAGTTTAAATTAATAGAATATAACACTATAATATATCGAATCTATGGATATAAATGAAACTTTTATTACATATTTGATTGAAGTCTGGATTACCTACATTTTTGTCTTCAATAATGCATTGTGTATACGATATATTGAGTGAAATAAATGCGTAACAATTGTCTAATATCGATGATATGTTTTGTCATCAATCCGCGAGTGCGAGAGGCTTTTATTTAATCACATGCACTACATGCGACTTACAAAGTTTCATAAATATTTTTTCGCAATTATATTTATATAGATATCAATTTCAACAATTTCATATTTTAATCACGTGCGTGTGATAAATAGTCGTCTTAAAAGTTTTCCTTTATCCCTTGTATTTTTCTAGATGTCCATTTTATGTTTTTGCAATTGTATATTGCTAGATGTCCGTCTCAACAATTTATACACGTGATTAAATAAAGCAATTGTTGAAATGGACATCTAGCAAGATACAATTGCAAAAACATAAAAAATAAAAAAATTTAAGTCGCCCATAGTGTATGTGATTAAAAAAAAGCCTCTCACACGCGTTTCTGAGCATGCATAAAGGCTAGTCTAACCAATTTTAGCAATTACGACGATTGAATTGGTGTTATTGCTTTAGAGGATGAATTGGAGTTGTTGCTTTAACTTTGAACAATTGATTAAAACAAAAGTGAATTTGAAGTGGATATGATGAAAGTGACATCAATACTATCCAAAATTAATAGGAACATCTCCAATGAAGGTAAGAAGAAGAAGAAAAAAAAACGTGTAGACAATTTTGAAATGCAAAGAATTAATAAACATCCAACTTCTATGGAGTTGTGGCAAACAATTTGACATACCAAGCTAAATAAAAAGAAAATACTACAGACTCTCACCCTTTATCAATAATTGATATCCTAAGTAGAAAAATTAGTATCTCCACCATCCACTTTACCTCTTTGGGTACTCTGCAGTGGCACACTACTACAAAAATTGAAATAGACGACGGGAAAACACCGTCGTCTTTTTGTTTTTCAAACTGTCGTTAAATCGACCGTCATCTTTTTGAATGTCAAACTACAACAGTAATTAACCGTCGTCTATAATATGTAAAAACGACGGTTTTTTAGATGTAAAGACGACGGTTTTTGTCACAAACCGTCGTTGTTTTCATATAAAGACGATAGTTTTTGTTAAAAACCGTCGTTGTTTGAAGTAAAGATCGTTAATTATATGAATAAAGATGACGGTTTGTTTCAAAAACCGTCGTGGATTGTTTGTAAAGATGGCGGTTAATTAATACCTAAAAATCGCCGTTGATTAGCTATGAAGACGACTGTTGTATTGTAAATCCGTCATCTACAACAATTTTAACTAGAATTCCAACTATATTGTTTTATTAATGAACACATACTCAAAAATTGTTTATTTCATAAAACTTGAAGATTCAATATTATTACATAGTTAATCAATCTTTATTCCTATCACATACATACTTCCTAAATAATGGAGTATACTAAATTACATGATTCCTAAAATCAACCTTTGCTCTTTCCCTTCTAGTTCTGTACTCAACATATAGTTGACTGATGAGATAAGCAGTCCAGCTTCCCACCAACCCATAAAAAAGCTAAAATAGAATCCCATATAGCAAATCCAATTGGGAAAATGAATATGCATGGCAGTGTGAGAAGCACTTGAGCAACCTGCATTAAAAATTCCACTAAAACCAAATTCAAATATATAAACGTAATTAGCTACACACATTAAATACACAGGTACATTAACACAAATGGCCAAATTTAAGAACTAAAATGTGCAAATTTGAAAAATCAACTACTTAAATGTGCAAAAAGTACCCTAATATCTAGTCAGTTGATGTACTATTTGCATGTTGCAAGTCACAAAAAGGAGAAAATTCCTAGCAATTACTCTCTTTTGTTTGGTTGTTGAGAAATGTATTGGAAAATGGTTTATCAATTCAAGAACCCAAGAAACCAACCCCACAACTATATTGAAAACTAATACTACCATAAGCTTAGTTGTATAGTGTTATCCATTTCTTGTGATCCAACAAAGTAAGAATCTCACTTCTCCTTCTTTCTTTTTTTCCTCATCAAACAAACCAACAAAATTTAGACAGTAATGAAGAATTTGAATGTACAGTTGAAGCTGAAGTTTACGTGCAAAGATCGAACATTTTCAAGCAGAGAGAAAGGAACAATGCAAAACAGGATGAGTATTAAAGAAAAAGTCAAGTCTTCCTATCAAGTCTACACAAAACCAAACAAAAGGAGATAAAGTAAGGATGACTTAATTTATCTGGGGGTCTGTAAGGGAAAAACACGAGACCCATTTTGTATGATTTTCATAACTCACAAAAAACAACAAATAGCAAAGAGGTTCAAGCATGAAAGGAAAGGTTGCAGGACAACTGACCTCTTGGTACAAGGTGCAAGCAAAGATGAAATTTCCAACTTTGGAAATAAACACAAGGCCACAGCACATGGCACCAACTCAATCTGCCAAACAACGAAGACGGGCACTTTGCAAGTTTGCAAGCAAACTTGTCAGTTTTCAAATTCACAAGACAAAGCAGCATGCCAAAGCATTAAAGCTACCTGATTAAAAACAAAAATAAAAAGAAGGAAGAATGATATACCAGAAGCACGTGAGTAGCCAAGTCAAAATAGATGCAAAGCCTTCAACCTTCTGCCTGAGACTCTTCCTTATGACAAACCAAAATTTGGTCTTTAGACCCAAAGTGAAGATGGTTTTAATTCTCAATGAGGATGGGTAAAATCCAAATTTGTGGTTGTTGTATTTTTTATGCACACCAATGAATTTCGAGATTAAAAAAAAAAGGTTCAGTTATGAAGTCAGTACTGCCAAACTCAAAGAAATACAAATAACTCTTTGGTTTGTACATGATGAGTTAGACAAAGAAGTCTCCACAAATATGAGACCCACTGCTTCAAATCAATTTCTTGAAAAGGGAATAAATATCAAAATCAAGCTCTGCAAATTGGAAGGCAATTGTTCTGCCTTGTCACAAATTGTGTGAAATTGAAAAAGAAAATTCCAAGAATAAAAGAAAAGAGTGAAACATACACATAGCTTACCCCAAAGTCCGCTGCTGTCTGCACAAGTGAGGTCTAGAAGGATCTTCCATTTACAAACAAAACATATATTTCAAACAAGTCCCAAGACATCAAGAATAAGAAAATCAGATTCTTACAACCAAGCATATAGAAGTTATAGCTTTAGCAAAAACAAAGTTCAATAATGTTAAGAAGGTCAATGATTTCCTAATGTTCACAGGATGGATCTGGAAACAAATATGTAATTATGTGCTGTAGAATATTTCTTTTTCTATTGTAATTTAGATTCCTAGAATAGCTTAGCATCATTATAGGAAATCTCTTGTATAAAGTTACACACTCTGACTCAATAAAAATCATTCAGGCAAATATCTTTCTTCCCTATTTTACATGGTATCAGAGCAGGAAGACAAACCCTAGCTCTCTCTTTTTTTGCCATCTCAATTTTTATTTTCTTTGCCATTGCTTCTCATCATGGAGCGCAAGCAATTTCTCTCTGATCTCCAGTTTCAACAGATATTATCTATTATTAACAATAAAGGGGCAAATCAATCCTCCAATCCTAAGGCCAATGCTGCTGGTACTTCTTCAAATTTGTCACAAGCACCGTTGCGCCTCCGTCAATTAATCCTCGATAGTGGTGCAACCGATCATATTACTTCTTCTCAAAATTTGCTTGTCAACAGTCGTCAGAACACTATTTTAACGCCAGTTATTATGCCCAGTGGAGAACAGGCTCCAATCACATCTACTGGAACTTTACCTTTGAACTCTGTTATTTCTTTGAAAAATGTGCTTGGTGTGCCATCTTTCAAGGTGGATTTGATGTCTGTGAGTCAAGTTACAAGAAGTCTCAATTGTTCTGTAACCTTTTTTCCCTCTTGGTGTATTTTGCAGGACTTGACGACGAAGACGACGATTGGTTTGGGTAAACAACGAGACGGACTTTATTACTTGGTCACATTGGCGTCAGCAACACCGAGCCCTAAATTCAGATCCTCCGCTGCCATTGCTAGCCATCCATCTTGTTCTCATGTCACCTCCTCCACTGACTTGTGGCACCGCCGATTAGGGCATCTATCTTCCTCTAGATTAGATTTTATGGCAAAAAATTTGCTCAATTTTCCTTTCAAATCCAATAATCCTTGTGATGTTTGTGCACTTGCAAAACAATGTCGACTTCCTTTTTCTGCTAGTTCAATTTCGTCTGTTAGACCGTTTGAGTTAATTCACTGTGATATTTGGGGCCCCTACAAAATTCCTTCTTTTTCTGGTGCTAAATATTTTTGACAATTGTGGATGATTATTCTCGTTTCACATGGGTATTCTTTATGCAGCACAAAAGTGAAACACAACATTTACTTACAAATTTTTTCTCCTTTGTCAAAACTCAATTTGCTGCATCCATTGCTAATATTCGAGTTGATAATGGGGGGGAATTCTCTTCTATGAAAGCTTTTTTTCAACAAAATGGCACTACTTACCAACACTCTTGTGTCTATACACCCCAACAAAATGGGGTTGTAGAGCGCAAACATCGTCATATCCTTGAGTCAGCCCGTGCCCTTCGCTTTCAAGCCCATCTCCCTTTGCGTTTTTGGGCAGAATGTGTTCTCACCGCTGTACATTTGATTAATCGTTTGCCCACACCACTTCTTTCCCAACAAACTCCTTTTGAACGCCTTTATGGCAAGATCCCTTCCTATTCCCATCTTAAGGTTTTCGGGTGTCTTGCCTATGCTACTAATGTGCATGTCCCTCATAAGTTCGCTCCTAGAGCCAAACGTTGTGTTTTCCTTGGTTACCCGGTCGGTCAAAAAGCCTACAAGCTCTATGACCTTACCACTCATAAATTTTTCACTAGTCGTGACATTGTTTTTCATGAAACTATTTTTCCCTATGCGTCCCTTCCATCCATTCCAACACCTCTAGCCCCCGTCCTTCCTCATTTTGTGTATGACCCTCCTATTTCTGACTCATTCCCTACGACCTCCACAGCACCATTAGAACCGGTCCATCCCGTCCCTCCCTTAGCAATGACCCAACCCGATTCTCCTTCTGCGTCTTCGTATCCAGCCACCTCCACTTTTGATCAACCTATTCCTATCAGCGTCGTTCAGGCCCCTCCCGTCCCTCCATTAGAAATGACCCAGCCAGCTTCTCCTTCTGCGTCTCCGCATCCAGCCACCTCCACTTTTGATCAACCCATTCCTGCCAGCGTCGTTCAGCCCCCTCCCGTACCAGTTTTACGACGTTCTCAACGACATCACAGTCCTCCACGTGCTTTACGTGATTATGTTTGCAACCAAGTAACGTCTCCCAAACCGTCGCCGTCTTTTTCGTCTGGTTCCACCAAAGGTACAAGGTATCCTCTTTGTAACTTTCTCTCTTACCATCGTTACTCACCACAGCATCATTCTTTTGTTGCTACTATTAGTCAGGATGTTGAGCCCAGCTCTTATACCGAAGCAGCTTCCCATTCACACTGGCAGGACGCCATGCAATCTGAATTGGCAGCTTTAGAGGCCAATCACACTTGGTCTCTCACTCCCCTCCCTCATGGCAAGAAACCCATTGGATGTCGCTAGGTTTATAAAATCAAACGTCACTCAGATGGCACCATAGAGCGTTATAAAGCTCGTTTGGTGGCCAAGGGTTACACACAGTTGGAAGGTATCGATTATCATGACACTTTTTTTCCCACTGCTAAAATGATTACTGTTCGTTGTTTATTGGCTCTGGCAGCTGCTCAGGATTGGTCCCTTCACCAATTAGATGTCAACAATGCTTTCCTTCATGGTGATCTCCATGAAGAAATTTATATGTCTCCACCTCCTGGTCTTCAGCGACAGGGGGAGAACTTGGTGTGTCGCCTCAACAAGTTGTTGTATGGTTTAAAGCAAGCTTCTCGTCAATGGTTTGCCAAGTTCTCAACAGCTGTTCAAGCTGCCGGATATGTTCAGTCCAAAGCGGACTACTCGTTATTCACATGTCGGAATGGAAAGTCCTTTACCGCTCTGTTGATATATGTTGACGATATTCTTATTACGGGTAATGATCTCAAGGCTATATCCACTCTTAAGCAATTTTTGCATAGTCGTTTCCGAATTAAAGATTTGGGGGATTTGAAATATTTTCTGGGCATTGAAGTCTCTCGATCAAAGAGAGGTATTTCTATTTCACAGCGGAAATACACTTTGGAAATTTTGAAGGATGGTGGAATTTTGGGGTGCTAAACCTGTGAACTTTCCCATGGAGCAAAACATAAAGCTCTCTGATACAGGTGAATTGCTTAGAGATCCATCTCAATATAGGCGACTTGTGGGACGCCTAATTTATTTAACTATTACTCGGCCTGATATCATGTATTCGGTACATGTATTAAGCCGATTCATGCATGCACCACGTAGACCACATATGGAAGCTGCCTTGCGTGTGTTGCGTTATTTGAAAAGTGCTCCAGGACAGGGTTTGTTTTTCTCTTCTCAAAATGATTTATCTCTGCGAGCTTTTTGTGACTCGGATTGGGCTGGTTGTCCAATGACTCGTAGATCCACTACAGGTTATTGTGTTTTTTTAGGATCTTCACTTGTTTCTTGGCGAACAAAGAGGCAGAAAACAGTGTCACTCTCTTCAGCAGAAGCCGAATATAGAGCCATGACAGGTACATGCTGTGAGTTGTCTTGGTTACGTTCATTATTGAAGGATTTACGAATATTGCATCTGAAACCGGCATTGCTACATTGTGATAACAAAGCAGCCTTACATATAGCAGCCAATCCCGTTTTCCATGAGAGAACCAGGCATATAGAAATGGACTGCCACTTTATTCGGGACAAAATACAGGATGGTTCGGTTGTAACCAAGTTTGTTACTTCGGCAAATCAGCTTGCGGATGTATTCACTAAACCGTTGGGAAAGGAACCCTTTTCTACCATGATTCGCAAGTTGGGAGTTCTCGACATTCACTCTCCAACTTGAGGGGGAGTGTTAAGAAGGTCAATGATTTCCTAATGTTCACAGGATGGATCTGGAAACAAATATGTAATTATGTGCTGTAGAATATTTCTTTTCCTATTGTAATTTAGATTCCTAGAATAGCTTAGCATCATTATAGGAAATCTCTTGTATAAAGTTACACACTCTGATTCAATAAAAATCATTCAGGCAAATATCTTTCTCCCTATTTTACAAATAAAGTGAGGGAGATTTGGAGAAATTTACTCTCAATAACAGCAAAAGCTTTGGACTCATCAGGCTTAGCCTTGTATTGGGGGGCGGGGGGGAGCAGGGGATGGTGGAATTTCATATTTGTCCGGCTTCTCTTCCTCAGTTGGAGCCAAGGCATGTCGACGATCCGACTAGATCTGATACTAATCGCATCGAACACGAATTATTAAACCAAAAATCAGACATCGAAAAACCTAACCCCCCAAAATTAATTGATAAACCTAACCCCAACTTGAAGAACCCTAAATTGATGCATACAATGAAACCATAGCTAGAGAGAAGAAGAAGAGGAAGAGATTGTGACCTCCTATGCCAGCAAGCTCGATGTCGACGGCATCCAAGGGGCTCAAGTGGCCTATAACGTTAAATTGCAAACTCCGTCTCCTATGCCAGCAAGCTTGGTGACGATGACAGTGAACATTATAGAGATGAGTGCTTCGGAGGTGAGAGGGAGTGTTTAAGAGGGTTGAGGGAGATCCAGGGAGTTATTGAGGGTTTCAAAAGGAGGGAGAGGTTTTTTTGAGCGATGGGGAGAAATTTGAAAATTTAAGATCGCGAATTCACTTAAGGGCCTCTTTTCATCCAGCGCGTTTTGAAAGACAACGCTTGTCAAACAAGCGTCGTGTTTTTAAAATCAAACCCACTTTAGCAGTGTGTAAGGTAATATACAACGACGGTTTTATAAAACTGCCGTCTTTTAAAATGTGACGACGGTTTATAGATGCAACGTCGTCTATTTTGTGTCGTTGTTTAATTATTTTGTAGTAGTGGCATCACAACTTGCCAACTCTGTGCATCCTCTTAGATAAAACCAAAGACAAAAAAACATTAACAAAACCAA